GGATTCTCTCCCTCACTTAGCTAAGCGTTCTAAAAGTATTTTTAAGAGCTTTGAAACATACTGCCAGACTGTTTTCCGAAAAGGTGCAGCTAATTAAAATTAGTAGCAGTAAACTACAGTTGTTACATTGTACCTTTACCAGGATCCAGTGTTAAAAAAGAACAAGCCTGTATTTTTGCGTCACTAGACAAAATGGTGTATAGTTGCCTAATCATCCCTTGATGTAGTTAATGTTTTGTGTATATGTAAAAATTAGTTTGATATTTTATGTTAATTTTTTTCAACCAAGAATGTATAGTTTTACAAGTTTTTGAGGAAGAAATCGTTAGTGATCAATCAGTGGTGATTACCTTGAAGTTTTCTCAGTGGTCAGAGTGGACAGTCTCCTTTTGTCAGAGATGAGATTATTAACAAAAATACTGAGTGTTCGTGTGTCTCTTCCTATATACTTTGGAATTTTAAAGTTTAAGCTGATTTTAAGTTAAATCATTAAGAAAACAAAGTCCTTATTTCTACTAGAAACTATTTCTAATAGCAAATGAACAATATTTCAAATGACCATCAAAAAAATTTAACTGGTGGAAAGTGAGAATGTGAAATATTAAAGTTTTACCATTCATTCATTGCCAGTAAACCTCTTCTAACTATATTCTTCTGCTTAGATTTACTGTATCTCTTGATCAGACATCACTGCTGCCTTTATTTCTTGGTTTATCAACTTTAAAGAATACCACATTGAAAATTCCCTGATTTTTAAAAATTCAGGGACCATTCTCTTCCTCTTTTCTTTTCTGCAGTGCTTGATCTTTATCTAATTATGTTCATTTCTTCTATTATTTCCTTTGTTACTCCAAGTAGTAAGTGTAATAAGTGTATTTCTGTCCTGTTTACTTACTGAGCTTGCTAGGCTCTGCTTGGACTTCTCCTCCCTGGACTGCCTCTGGAAACCACTTCCAGGCAAAAAACACAGGAGTGGCAGGGCTCGCCTTTGTTTCTTCTCAGGAATCACAGTCCTGCGCTACTTGTACATGTGTGAAAATAATTTCTGTGTTTTACTGACTTTTCTAGTTGTTTATGGAAGGAAGGTAATTTCTGATCCTTGTGGCTGGAAGTTGAAGTCTTTGGGTTGGTACCGTCAGGATCCCCGTTTCTTTGAAATTTTTCTCCTTGAATTTTAAATACTGTCTTTTCCTATTATACCTTCTACTTCAAGCTTCCTGTTTTGCCTCCTTTACTAGATCCTCTTACTTTGATAACTTAATTATATTAATTGCAATAATACTTAATAGCAACAATAGTAGAAGTCACTGTGTCAGTCTTTGTGCTAACTGTATACTTACATTACAGTTTTAATTCATGAAGCAACTGCTTGGTATTCTTCAGGGTTCTGTTTTCCTCCTGATCTCATTCTGTATACTGTCTTAAGTTATTGGCGCCACCTATAGGCTAGTGACTTTTACATGTATATTTTTAGCCCTGATTTCTGTGCTGAGCTCCCAGTCTGTAAACCTGACAGTCCCAGCATTTTCACCTGAATTTTTGAAAGCCGTATGAATCTAATTCAGTCTAAATGGACCTCCTCTTTGCTCTTCTCCTTTTATCCTGTTCTTCATCTTGACATCATTTAATCTGTAGTTAAAAATCTATAGTTAACGATTTCTTCCTCAAAAACTTGTAAAAATTAGATTGTTTTCTAATTGTCCTTATGCAACAGGAAATATGCTTCACATAAACAAAGATAAAATCTGTCTGTTAATTTAACCTTTAAATTATTTCTTGACTCTGGCCCTGCTTCGCCATCCCTACTACTCTTGTCCTCTTGCAGCTTTCTGCGTTCTGTGTCTGTCCAGTTCTACTAACCTCCTAAATGATCTCTGCCCCTCGTTGTGTCCCTCTAACATCTGTAGTATTTCTACATTTTATATTTCTAAATATTAAATCAGCGTACTTCTGGCTTAAAGTCTTTAGTTGTTCCCTAAATGCTACTGGGTAAGGGCAGTGTTTTTTAACATGATATGCAAACTCTCCTTATTCTGTCATTCACTTCTCCTTGGATACTTATCTTGCTGCTCCTTTTGCCTACTCTGAAGTCAGCATCATTCCAGATGGTACCATGCTTTTTTTTTTTTTTTTAATCATCTCAACTTTTTTCTTTCTGCCTCCTGTCTCCCTAGCTTCTACCTGGCTAACTCTTGAATTTCTAAGGTGTTTCTAGGCCTCTCCTTTTTGCTCCATGGTATCCCATGTGTAGCCCTAGCATTGTATCTGTTATGTGTTTAAATGATTTTTGTTATATTTTCTTTTCCTATATTATGAGGTCCTAGAACACAAGACATTTTTATTCATAGTTTTCAAACACATAGTTTCCTCATATGTATGAAAGCAAAGTCCATAATTTTGCTTTTACTTGGGCATATGTGTTTGCATTTGTTTGTCCATTCAGCAAATGTCATTACGTGCCACTGTGCGCTAGGCGCACTGTACTAACCATATTGTGGGCTGAACATTGCATTGAATTTATAGAATTTATAGATTAATTTTTGGAGAAGTAACATGTTTACAAAGTTCAGTTTTTCCATTTAGGACCACAAGTTTATGTATTCAAGTATAATTTTCAGTGCCTAAGGAAAGTTTTATAAGTGTTCCTTACTTGGTTTTCTACATTTCTGTTAGAGCTTATTTGTGTTAATTCTTTTCCAATTGTGAATGAGATTTTTTATTCTGTTAATTGCATTTTGTCATTGCTCACATATGAGAAACTGATTAGATGATTTTATATCTGGCCAACTAATTAAATTTAGTAGTTTTCATGGACTTGGAGTTTCAGGTACTGGTTATGTCAGTGACATATCAGGGTTTTTTCTTCCAGGTATTTATAAGTTTAATTCATTTTTCATATCTTGGTACATTGCTTAGGAACTCCAGTACAAAGTTGAATGAAAGCATCTTAATATTCTTCACTTTAATAAAAATGCTTTTCATCAGTGTCATGCTAAGTATGAGGTTTATTCTAAATAATTTTTAAAAGTCAAATTAGGGAGGCATCACCTATTCCTCGCTTGCTGAGTTTTATCCTGAGTCCATGTTGAATTTTATCAAATACTTTGTTGGTCTGTGGAGATGACCATGTTAGTCTGTTAATGCAAAGGATTTCAGTAAGCGATTTCCTGAAGACAGAGTTTCTTAACATGCTGCTTTTTTCCTGATTTAGTTAATACACTGCTGGATTTGATTACTCAATGTTTTATTTGGTGTATTTTTATTTATAAGTGAAATTGGTTTATAATTTTCTTTCATTTAATTCTTTTCTGTTTTTATTTCAGAATTTCACTAACTTTATAAGCTGTGTTGAAGTAGTTTAATATTTTTTTAATTAGGAAAACTTTAAATTTGAGCTATTTAAACAGTAGGAACTAGCTGTTTCTTAAAGATTTAGTAGAATTTGTCCATAAACATCATTTAGAAAATGGCTGTTTCTTGGTATCTTTATTTCCCCAAGTCTAGAAAAGAATCAGGAACAAAGAGCTTTTTTAAAAATACATGTTGAGTAAATGTTCTCTTGATAAATTTCTGGAAAATGATTTACTGTATAGAATTATTAACAGAGTTTATTTTAGTCAGAGTAGCATTGGTATAGCGAATTCATCAGTATACATAATTGGTTTGAAAGAGAGGTACATGGAAATCTGTCTTCATGGATAGATTTTCCTCATAGGAGGATGCTGTTCAGTAGTAGTCTAAAGTCAAAGCCAGCATTTTTAGAAAAATGTTGATTTGTGTAATTATAATTTCTATCAACCTAATTTATATCAACTACACTGTATTGGCATAATTACCATGTGTAAAAAAGGCCCAAGATAAACATTTTACAAATGTATTCAAGCATGGATTATTTTTACTGTTTTCTCTTTTAAAGCTTATTACGTGATTTATATTCATTATAATTATTTTATAGGCAAATAATTTTTTCAGAAGTTACACTGTAATTTCAACAAAACTGATTTAGTGTATTTACATTTTCTTTTTTTAATTCAATAACTTAAGCATTCATAAAACAAGGGGTATGTTTCAAGTATTGAACATCTGAATATAACTAAGATTTCTGTGATAAAGCAGTGATTCTAAACCAGGGGACCTTTTACCCCCAGGGGACGTTTGGCAATGTCTGAAGACCTTTTGGTTTTCACAGGGGAAGGTAGGGGGACGCCACTATTGCCTAGAGGATAGAGGCCAGAGATGCTAGTAAACACCCTGCAGTGTGCGGTGTAGCGCCCCAGCACCCCCCAGCAAAGGGTAGTCTGCCCCAAAATGCAGCTATGCCAAGGCTGAGAAACCCTGTCATAAAAGGGAAGATACATGCACAGCTATGAATACACAAATATAAAAAGGTGTTTCTCAGACGCGTGTGCTTTTTTCCAACAACTAGAATTGTAACAGTTTACAATGTCCTTATGCAAAGTGTATGAAGAGTATTCTGCCCTTGACATCTAGTGAAACATTTAAAACTAAAAAATGTAGGTTAAGATCAAGCATGTAAATCAGAGTTGCTGCTCATTCTTATTTTTCCAGTTAGGAAATCCACAAATAAGGAAACTTGGAATAAATTAAATGATTTGTTTATAACCATTAAGAAATCATAACTGAGAAGGAATAGAATGTAGTGAATTGTTAGCTGAAGTAATCTATGTCCTTTATCTTTCATTTATATTCCTGATGTAATATTAAGGCTTTGAATATAACAATATTTCTTTTGATTGTTTTCTAATTGTGAAAGTACTCATGTATAAGGCTTTTTGTGTTTTAAAAATTGTCTAAAATCATAGAATATTAGAGCCAAAGTAGACCTAGGTTGTTTAATCCAAGTTTCTCATTTACAGGTATTAAAATATCCATTTTTAGGGAGGTAAAGTGGTCTGATTCAATGTCATACAACTTGTTATTGCCAGATCTTGGGCAACTCTTATGCCAGTTTAAACATGAGTGCTTCAAATTTTTCGCAGGCAACCACACCTCCAAATCATGGACGTCCAGATTCTCCTGTCTATGCTAATCTACAAGAACTGAAACTATCCCAGTCTGCCCTCCCTCCATTCCCTGGGAGCCCAGCGATTCAGATTAACGGAGAATGGGAAACTCATAAAGATAGTTCAGGACGTAGTTATTACTATAACAGAGGAACGCAGGAAAGAACTTGGAAACCCCCTCGATGGACTCGGGATACGAGCATTGGCAAAGGAGATTTCCAGAGTCCGGGAGATCCAGAGGTACGAGTAATCAGGAAGTCGATCAGTGAGTTACCAAACTTTGTGGGTTTTTTTCCGTTATTCCAAGACAAAAGGTGTAAATAGGTTTGTATCTTGGTACTGAAATGGTAGAACACCTGAAATCTCTAAGATACCAGATCATCTTTCCAAGTTTTATTATGTTAATGCTAGTTACTGCCTAATCTCTAACTAGCAGACAGTAGTTAACTTTGTAGTGTGCTTATTTGTTGCAGAATTAACTGTATTAAAGTTGCCTAGTGCCATTGATTTGCTGCATGTGCTGGTGGGCTAGAAGATAGTTAAATTGCTGTTATTGCCCAAGCAGTGACTTGTGGTTTTTTTAGAAAAAGAAGGAAGAAAAGATGTAATGTGACTTAGCCAAATACATAAAGACAGATTATTTAAATGATTAAAATATACACGTGATTGGTTTGTTCTGTGAGCAGGATACTTCTCAGTTTCTATCAGAGGTACAAGATCATTTTTTGTTATATGTAAGGAAAATAAGTATAATATAATGTCTGTGCTACAAATGGACCATTCTGTAAGTCTGGCAGTTCATTCTACAATCATCATTTTCTCTAACAGGCATTCATACTATCTTCCGCCTCCCCACCTTGGTTTCACCTTTCTGCACACTGTCTGATGAAGGGTTGTGTGGTGAATTGGCCAGGTGTATTTTGAGAAATACATACCTTAGAGGTGTGTAGAGATTTCTTTGGGGCTGGCTTAGCTATGTGGGGAAAGCTTGATATGCAGGTGTCAAATCCTGCAGTTTAATAGACAGCGGGCCCTGCACCTGCATAGGACACCTGGCTCTTTAAAAAGCAGCTGGCTTGTACAATTAAAAACAACTACAGGAGCTGGAAAAATCAGGTAACACCTGTATTTAGCAGAATCTAAAAGCTTTTTGTGTTAACAACCCCTCTTGTCCTATTTTTCAGTTGGTTATTTATACCTTTGGTAACTTTTAGTGTTCAAGAAAGAGATTGAGAATAATGAGAGAAATTGTTGCTGGTTACTGTAATAAGAAATACATTAGGAAAATTATTTGAAATGTTAGATCTAGAAAGATTTGAAAATAAATTATCCTGTGTATCAACAATAAAGTAATATCTTGCATTTTGGGAGAGCTGGGAAAAGGGCCAAATTATAGAGTGATTTAAAGGACACACAGGAACTTTTAACATGTTCCTTAGCTTTCTACTTCAATAAATAAAAGAGTGATTTGTATATCAGTGTCTCAGCTTACACTATCCATATCTGCACAAATTGTTTTTAAAATAAGTATTTCCAAAGTGGCTGGAGCACACCATCCAGTAGCTTTTTGAGAAAGGTTGTGCATGGGAGGCAAAGTTAAGACTTTGTGAAAATGTCTATATTCTGCTCTCTTATTTAATTCCTAGTTTTCCTGAATGTAAGGCCTTTTTGAACTTTACTTTATGGCAGCCTAGGTCATCTGTTGGTTGGGGAGTTCCCAGTGTTAGAACCATCAGGTCTTTCCTTTTAGAATAATCAAAGTTTCCACACAAGTCTTAAAATCTTCTGTCTAGAAAGTCAGGGCTGCGAGGGCTTCATAGTCAGAATTCAGTTTGCATATAACCGCTAGTTTCCCCTCTTTCTGTTTAGTACCCATGTCTCGGTTATGACGTCTGAGTTGTCTTCCAACTCAGAATCTTACTGTTTTCCCTCTTGAGAGGGAATAAATACTGTACTTCCGCTGGGATAAGCGAGAGGTGCGCTTCTAGCAGCCATGTGTGAAAAAGGAGATTCTGGCAATTTTAGCCCTCAGTTAAGTACCCCTACTTTCACCTCCAGTTCAGGGAATACCTAATACTTCCAATTCCTGAGCCATTTGAAGATTCTTTATAAATTTTCGGGGCTTCATCTTCGCTTCACCACTCCACTCCTCACTTCCACCAGTTTAGATTCTGTTTTCTTCTTCTGCTTCTCAGCTTCCAGAGTTTTGTGACTGTTGTCTCTTCCTGTGGGTTTAGGTGTTTTAAATCATATATCACTGTGTTTATTTTAATGGGGTTTGAGATGGAGCAAGTGTTCAGTCTTCCATCTTAACTTATCGGCTGATTATTTTAATAGTCACCCTAGAACAAAGGTTCTCAAGTGGGGACAGTTTTGCCTGAGGGGGTGGGGTTAGACAAGGTGAAAACAATTTTGGTTGTTACAGCTGGGAGAGTGCCACTGGTCCCTAGTGGATGGAGGCCAGAGATGGTGTTGAATAGCCTGTGATTCACAAGACAGCTCCCACCCACAATTATCTGGCTCTAGGTGTCAGTAGTGCTGCTGTTGAGAAACCCTGCCTTAGAAATTTTAACACACATACTATCAAATTATAACGTTAATCAGTATCTTCTTGCTCCTTAAAGCTGTATAAGAACTGTATATGTTTTTGTGTAATTGTTGTCTTGTATTTTATTTCTATTTTTAGCCCCCTTATTGTTGTACATGGTGACTCAAAACTAACCCTATTTACCACTTTTTAAAATCACATTTCTTTATAAAAGTTAAGTTATCTTGGATAACTTTTCTACTGTCTTAAGTATACTTTTAAATTTCTTTAGGGAGGACCTGTTAGTGATAGAGTCGTAGTTTTTGTTTGTTCATAAATTTACTTATTTCATCTTTATATCTGAAAAATGTCTTTACCGGGTATACAGATCTAAGTTGAATGTTTACTTGTTTGTTTTTTCCTAATTTATTAAAGCTTTTATTCTCATGTTTTCAGGCTTCCATGGTTGATGATGAAAATTCAGCTCTTAGTTTGATGGTCTTTTCTTTAAGGGTGGCTTGTCTCTTCATACTGGTACTTTTTAAAAACTTCTCTCTGTAATTTCACCATCATAGTGATTAGGTGAAGGTATTTTTTCTATTTCCTGCCAGGGCTTTGTTGGGACCCCTGAATTTGGAGTCCTATCTTTGATTAGTTTTGGAAAATTCATAGCCATTATCTGTCTATAGCTTCTGTTCCATTTTCTCTTTCTTCTCATTCTGGAACATTGAGTAGATGAATGTTTAGTCTGCTCACTCTGTTTGCCACGTCTCTTCATTTTCCTTATATTTCAAAATGTTATCTCTATGTCCCTTTCATTCATTCTCAGTAATTGACAGATGTAGCTCCTCTTCATTATTTTCTTGTTCATCTACATTTTTACTTGATGTTAAACCAATCCTTGAATTTTAAAAACGTGTTATTTTTATTTGTTTAGTAGCTTCCCCTCTTACAACTTTGAAAAGTTTTAAACCTACAGAAAACTAGAAAGATAGTATAGTGAGAATCCATATACCTAGACCCTTCACAAAGATTACCAATTGGTAGTATTTTGGCATACTTGCTTGATTTTTCTCTTCCTCCCACCATCCTCCAGTAACTTTCTTTTTAACCATTTGGGGCAGATGGCATAATTATTTTATTTTTTCTCTTAAGTATATGGACATTTTCCAGCAAAACCACTTTTGTGGTGAAAACAGATTTATTGATGAAAAAATTTAATGCTAATGTATTATTTAATATGCAGTTACTATTCCATGTGTCTCACTTGTCAGGTAATATCATTATAGTTTTTTTCCTGCAGTGAAGGATCCATTTGAAGGATCTATTGCATTTCTTTGTTTTATCTTTTTTTAGTCTTTTATTTTATTTTTTATAATTCCAGTATATAAAGTCTTTGAAAGTCTGAGCATGCTGTTTTTCTGCTGTTACTCATAGTGTGTTGCTTCTCCTTGTGGGCAGCATGTATGTGTCTTAACATGAGATTGTGGTTCTTGGAAATTCATATGTAGGAATTCTTTTTTTAATCCTCACCTGCGAACATTTTTTCATTGCTGTTAGGCAGAGAGAGATGAAAGGAGAGAGGGAAACTTGGGTATGTGCCTGGACTGGGGTTGTGGGCGCTGGGGCCGGGACCCTCAGTTCCCAGACTGGATGGAATTCGCAACCTAAGCAACCTAGGCACGTGCTGTGACCGGGAATCGAGTCCTTGACCTTTTGGATACAGAGACAACACTCCAGCCAACTGAGCCACTCAGTCCAGGACATCACATATAAGAAGTCTTTAATGCTGGGATTGGAAGTTTCTTCCTTTAGAAGTGTTTGCTGTTGTGACTGCCAGGTGCTTAGGCAAACTAGTATCCTATGAACATTTGAAACTTTAGTTTTTATTGGCCACGTAAGTAGTTAATTAGTATTGCATGACGATGGGCTTGTGATTAAAGATTCCCCTAGTTTTCCCCCATTACTGGGGAGGATTCCTGTGATTTCCCTAGTGTGGAATAAAGTGACAAAATTTCCTTCTGGCTCACCCTTAATCTGTAGGTTTAATCCTTGGTGGTCCCAGTTCTGTGCTGTAGGGTGTCCTTTTAGAGCCCCTGACTTCGTGGTCCTGAGTCCTATTCCCTAATATTTCTGCATGGCCTTGAAAAATAACGTTCTAGTTTGAGATTTGGCAAGTGCCTTCAAGGAGAAAGCTGGTCTTTCCTTATCTTTTTGGATTCTTCTACTTAGTTTTTGTCCTCTGAGTTATTACCTAACTAACCTCTTGCTCATTAATGATTTTAAAAAATGTTTATGTAATATTTTAAACTATTTTCATCCAGATGATCAATTGGGTACCTACCTACCTGCTATTCATCTATAAATGGAACATTTTTAAAGCCCTCTCACATGTCTACTAGGCCTCATTTGCTGCAGGATATATACCCCAAAGTTACTGAGCTAGGTATCCTGTTGAGTAGAGGTATTTAGTATAAAGCAGTTAATATTTGGAGAATCCTTGCCAAAAGTACTCTTAGTTTTTATTTCATTGCCATTAAATAGCTCTTTCCTAATGGCATAAAGATCTTAATGATACTCCTGCTCTTTTTTTTTTTTTATGGCAGAAAGGAATATATTGCTCAAAAATTGGGAAACTGGTGAGCATTTTGTCAATTAGAAAGTCATAGTTATAAAAAAGTTGATTGTGTTTCTTAAGTTAATTTTATTAATTAGATTGCCTTCTTTTGTTCTGTTTCTAAAAGATTTTATTCCATTTTGCCTACCTGAGCTTACATTTTAAGTAGTCTCAATTAAATAAAAAAGATTTCTGATTTTTAAATTAGGTTTTCCATTTTTTTAAAAGATTTTATTTATTTTCAGAGAGAGGGGAACAAAGGGAGAGGGAGAGAAATGTCAGTGTGCTGAGAGAAACATCGATCTGTTGTCTCCATCGTGCCCCCTGGCCTGGCTGGGGACCTGGCCCACAGCCCAGGCATGTGCCCTGGCCTGGAATCGTGTGTGCAGCCTTTTGGTTTGAGGGACAACACTGAACCCAATAAGAGACAACAGTCAGGGCTCACTTTTACAAAACATATACAGCTCAGTTTCTGCAAGGCTTCTGCAACATTGCCTATGCCACTTGTGAATGTTTTAATATTAGGCTCTTCTTGTTTTTAAATTACTTCTACAACATTTACAATCTACCCGTCTTAATGCGTCAGACCAAATTACAGTGGTAGAAAACACATGGTCAAGATTTAATTACAAAAACCCTTTTACCTGAAAGTGACCTTGGAAGGGTCATTGCACATGAGAGTTAACCCATTAAATATTTATTGAATGAATGAAGTGCAGCCAAATTGCTACTTAGTCACATTATGGTGCCTTTTATTTGAAAAAGCAGAAATCGTTAACTTTTCTCAGTCTTTTTTTCCCTCATATTATATCCAGAGTTTATGGTGCTTTTTAAAGTAAAGCATATCTAAGTTATTTCTGCACTGAGTTTCTTAACTCTTTGTGCTTGACTCTTTTCAGTATTTTATTTTGTTTTGAAATTTAGTTTCCAACTGTCTTTACTAAACATTTGGTTGAGTGAATTAGGAAAAACTTGCCAATAAATTAGAACATAAAATAGTATTACAAAAGTAGTATCTTTTCTCCCATGTCTCCCTCCCACACATTTTTTTAAAATAGTTTAAGTTACCTCTATTGAGCACTGTTGTTTGCCAGGCATTTGACTAGGACCTTGTGATAGACTCATAGGTGAGTGAGAATTTGAAGATACCTGGTGACCTGATCACCGACTTTGCTTATACATAGATGTGTATGTGCATACACACATGTCATTTTTAAACCTGATTTCAGTTCAAAAGCAGCATTAAATAAAAGGTAGCATTTTGTCTCCCAGTGTGAAAACATTTTCAATTTTATTGTGGTGAACTTTTCTTTCAAATTTGTTTATTGATTTTTTTTTTTTTTTAAGAGAGAGAGAGGAGGAAACATCCATTTGTTTTTTTGTTTTTTGCTTATTTATGCATTCATTGGTTGATTCTTTGTATGTGCCCTGACTGGAGACTGAACCCACAACCTTGGTGGATTGGGATGGACCAAGGATGGCACTGTAACAAACTGAGCAACCTGGCCAGGGCACTGAACTTTTCTGGGGTTGCATTAATGTGATGGAATAACTATTATTAATTTCACCTCAGCCTTACAATGTACCATTTAAAAGAGTGGACAATTTGTTTTGAAAGTTAATTATTAAAATATATTCAGGATATTTTCATATTTACAGTCAAATACAATTGCTTAATCTCTTAGATTTTCAACTACTACATACTCCTATTATTCAAAGAAGAAAAATCCTTATATTTCTGACTATTTATAGCTTCTTTCATCAGAAGAAAACTTCCACAGCATTTGTTACAGCCAGTCAGATAGTCAGTGTGGTTCTCCTCCAAGGGGTTGGTCAGAAGAGTTGGATGAACGTGGGCATACCTTGTATACCAGTGACTATACTAATGAAAAGGTACATTCTTTTGTTTCTCATCTAGTTTTCTTGGTTGAATCCTCTCATAAAGTCGTTGTGTATTGAAATTTTATTAGTATTTTAAAAATTCATGAAGGTATTTTTCATTGTAATTCTGTAGTCATGTCAGCTGACAACCTGAAAACTCAGTATAACTACTGATTCATGGTTTTAAACTGCTTACAATTACATTGATTTTTATGGTGTCAGAACCCACTTAAGACAAACCTTTTTGAGAGTAGACCTGTTGAGTGTCATTCTGTTTGAACTTCTTCAGTAAACAAACTTCTTTATACAGTCATCCCCTGGTATCCTTGAGGGATTGGTTCCAGGACCCTCCTTCTCTCTCACAGATACCATAGTCCGAGGGTGCTCCAGTCCTTGGATTATATAAAATGGCATAGTATTGGCATACTACCTGTATTTGCACATGGGCTAAGCGGAGTCTGCCTACATGTCACTTCATTCACATGGACTCGGTGGAGAGTTTGGCAAACAGCAAATCCCAGTTTTACTTTTGGGAACATTCTGGGATTTTGGGAGAAGTGGTGGAGGGATATTTCAATCTGCAGTTGGTTAAATCTGCGGGTGGAAAACCTGAGGATACAAAGGGCCGACTGTATTTCGCAGGGAATAGATATTTGGGAATACTATTTTTCTTAGCATGTTATTAAAATATACCGCCTCACTTCCTATACTGCTTTTTCTTTTATAACCAAGTTATGTAAAACAGAAGCCAAGAATCTAGTATCTTATGATTAATTAACTAGTTTGGAAATGTATATGGAAATTTTATGTGTATATTACAATCTTAGATCATCAGAGAAAATAACTGGTTGATTGGGCTGGTTTAGAGGATAGGCCCTTGGGAATGAATGGAAGAGGTAGTTTTTTACCCCTCATTTCTGCTTTAATTATTTGACACTGGAACATGAGGAAACAGTAGTATTCATATATATTACAATCAAGATCACATATTTGTATTAGAAGCAGTCTTTCCCTCTTCATAGTCTCGGTTATATTGTATGAAATAGTTTTTCTATGATTATTTAATTATAGTAAGATATGTTGGCTACTTGAAGTTTGGCTTAAATTGTTTAGTAGTTTTCTACTTAAAGATTGAAGAAAAATCCCCTTCTGTTAATGTTTGAATCTTGTTTTCAGGGTGGGTGTGGCCCTGTGTTCAATACATATGTACCTGTGTATCTTTATTACATAAGAGTATTTCTTATGTTTTAAGTGGTATTTGATCTACTAGCTTGACTTTGGAGGAAAGGGAGAGAAAATAAGCTTACATTTAATACTAAGTTTATTTACTCTTTCCAAACGTAGAATGTAAGTCTATTAGCGTAAGGTTGTTAAATTGTTTTTTGCAGTTTTCTAAAGCAAGTAGAATAGAATTTGAAAGAATAACATCTAATGTCTCTGGTTGTGTAAGTCTAAACTGACTATTGTTTAAATTAAAAGATAACACCTGTTCTGTTTTTATAGTGGCTCAAGCATGTTGATGATCAAGGTAGACAATATTACTACAGTGCCGATGGATCTAGGTCGGAGTGGGAATTGCCAAAGGTAATAAACCTTAACATTGAATTTTTATTTAAAAATAGTAGATAAAATAATATGAAAAAGGTTTACGCAGATTTATTTTTAAAGTTTTAATTAAACTTTTATTTTTTATCTTATTTTCTATTGAATTTATTGGGGTGACATTGGTTAATAAAATTATGTAAGTTTCAGGTATACAGCTCTGTGGTACTTCATCTGCGTATTGTATTGTGTGTTCACCACCCCAAGCCAAGTCTCCTTCCATCGCCATTTATCCCCCACCCCCACCCTTTTCCCCTCTTGTAATTACCGTACTTTTGTGTGTATCTGTAGTTTTTTATTTTCTTTGCTTAATCTGTTCAGCTTTTTAAAAAGCAGCAAGATTAGTTTCTTCAGGATTCATTGAGAATCCTGTGACTGGCTAAAGTTTTCTAAAACGTGAATTATCTTTGGTAGATGTTATTAATTACTCCTGTTAAAAAGTTAATTTAACATGAAATTTGTTTCTCATTATTCTTGGAATAAGAATCCTCTTCAGTGCCAATCATGTGCCGTCTTATATCTAGTTATTTTGAATACATTAAGTTTTCTACTTGATGTTGGTCTTATATTTAATCTTTATCTTGAAGAGGAAAAAAATCAACTCAATATTTAAGTTTATTCTTGTATGGAGTATGTGTTATAATTGAGTCAGTTACTGGCCGAGAAGGGTGTCACTGGATATCTCTTTTCAGACACATACCCTAGGGCAAGTTTAAATGATATCTGAGCAAACATTTAGATTTTAATTGGTACATTATTTTAATATTTTAGAAAACAACTATAGTATGTCTGTGGCATCAATTATCAGATAGACTTTAGTTTTTAAAGAAATTTCTTTTCCCCAAAGTTAGTCAATTTAAAGAAAAATATTTGACATAAGTAAATATATGTGGATATAGAAAAAATAACAAGGTGTTACTAATCTAGTGAACTAGTGCTAACAGTAGTTTTTTCATTATGTGAGTGTTATCTGGCTTGGTATTTGTAAGATAAGATATATACAGCCTGAAGTTGATTTGTAAGAACATGCCTTGTGAATCTGTATAGAGACAGTAGCAAAAGAACTCCATTATAATTCTGATAGCTTTAAAATGTTACATTGATCAACCTACATGTATCTCTAGGAACAATGTAGGTTGCTATAATGGAGGCTTGGTGGGGTTAGGGAGAGAGGGATGAAGGAAACACTTTTTTTTTTTTTAGTTAATTTTGCTATCAGGTATAGTGCTGGATTTTTCTTGTAGTTAAAAAAGCTTTGTAAAGTCTTCAAAAAAGCATTTTGGGTACTTTATCATGCATTTTACATAGATACTTCCTTTTTTGCCCAGCTCAGCAGAAACAAAACTATTTCATATTTTTAACCACTTTGTTTAAATAAACACTTCCTTATTAGAAGTCATATTAAAATTTATATTCAGGCAGTATGATTGTTTTTTAAAGTACTAATTACAACTTAACATACTGGTGTTAATGAAGATAATTTTTATATTTTAATCACAAAAGCTCCCATATACAAAGGGTTGAGAGATATTATTACATTGTGGGTTTTTTTTTTAAAGTCTTTATTTTTTTAGAGCAATTTTAGATTTACAACAAAATTGAGAGGAAGGTACAGAGATTTGCCATATATGCCCCCTGTCCCCCAGATGCATAGCCTTCCCTATTTTCAGTGTCACTCACAAGAATGTTGCATTTTTTACCAAGGATGAACGCACACTGACACATCATAATCACTTACAATTCATTGTCTGCCTTAGGGTTCACTTGGTGTTGTACATTCTAGGGGTTTAGACAAAAGTATAATGATACTTAAGAGTATTTTGCCTCCCCTTAAAACTCTTCTGTTCTCTGCCTGTTCACACACCCCTTCCCTTTCCCCAGCAAGCACTGATCTTTTTATATCTCTGTAGTTGTGTCACATTGTTTTTACTTTTTAAAGTTAACTGTAAATGCAAACCAAGAATGAAGAAAGATCTAAAGAAAATGCATTTAAAAGCACCGTAAAAAAAATTAAAAGTGCCATAAATTGCTCTTCACATATTTCAGGATTAAATGTTTTATATTATTTTTTAAATTATGAAATATAATTCAGTAAAACATTTGTAGATTTAAAAGTTTCATATCATTAATTTATACATTTGGATATGATTCTGACTAAAGATAAAACCATATTACTTTTTAATCATTAAAACTGTGCTGAGTGCTCAAATCCCTGTAATATTCTTATTTGATGAACCATAATATAGCAGTTGAGTGGTACAGTAACAGCATTGGGTTTTTTTTTAAGTTTTCTAAAAATTGAATATGAAATGATAGAACTTTATTTTCCAAATTTAATTGTCCCTTAATAAAACTTTTAACTGACAAATTAATATTCCAAGCTTCATATGACTGTTCCAAAATTTTAGGAGAAAATAAGTATTCATAATAGGATTAATAATATTTTGTTTTGTAAATTGTACCAGGAAGAAGTTGAAGAATATGTCGGGCATTACTTTCTGATACTGGTACCATTTATAAGAATAATTTAATCATATTTAATTATTAATTTGTAAAGGAAAAAACTTATGGATAGTGATGGCTAAAATATGTAATATCTTATGTGCTGGGATAGGAATATGTTTTGGGGATATAACTATTTAATATTAAAAACTATAAAATAGTGCTTAGTTTTGTAATATTAAGCTTATGAGATCGATTTTGACTTAAAATATCCAGAAGAAATACCTAAAAGTGTGTGTCATTGAAAATGATTTTGAACATAGATTACATAATATTAATTAAATAGTTTAAAGACATAGTGTTAAATTTTTTGATCCTCTTGACAAATTTGAATTATTGCTCCTATTTATTAGTCTGATTCCCTGGAGTAATGAAATCAAATGGAAAATTCTTTTTTTATTGATTTATTGATTTTCCCCAGCTCAGGGTCAACTGAAAAGAGGGACTCCCATAATAACTTCATGAGGGCTAATTTGGAACCTTTATTTAACTGGTAGCTAAATATTCATGCTGACTTTCGTAATAACTTCTGCACTTTCCTTGGTCAGAAGACGTATAGGCTCAGTATTAGGAAACTAACTTCTTGGAATGCCTGGGTGAAAGAGGGAAGAGAGGCAATGGACTGAGTCATATCAAAGCCTTAAAGGGTAGTTAGTTCTAGAGCAATGGAAATGGATGCTGATTGTGACCAGTGTTATTACTTTTGTGATATTATCTTATTTTCTGCCGCCATTTGCCACTTAGAATAAAATGTCAGAAGTTGTAGGCAATTTCTTGTACTTTCAATTAAATTTGATGTGTAGAGGAGGCTTGACTTGGTTACATGTTGGGTTGAGTTTGGTTTAGGATCCAAAAAAAAGAACATCCTGGTTCTTTTTGTACCTACCAGTAAGAGAAAAATAATCCAGTTCAAAATAGACAAAATACATGACTAAGAAGTACACAGAAGAGGAAGTGACATAAAAAATGCATGAAAAGATACTCAGTTTTACAAGTAACCAGGAAAATGTGAATTAAAACAGTGAGATAGTATTTTACCCTTCAGATAGATTTTATAAATGTGTGCAAATATACATACACTTTATATACATAAGTGTGTATGAGTTCAATAAAACCGTGTAGGGCAGTGCAAAGGCACTACATTATGCTGATAAGTGTGTAAATTAGTACTGTCGCCTGAGCATATCCATTTATTGCCCATCATGTAGAAATGAAAGTAAATAAGATAGAGGTGCATACTCACTAATATGGATACATTTTTTAGAATAAAAACATATTGAATAAAAAGAGCAGGTTGAAGAATATGTGTAATATGATCTCATTTATATAAACTTTAAAACAAGATATATATATATATATATATATATTTAGATACCTAAGTATATATCAAATTGCATGAGAATAATGAACGTTGAATTACATGGTACTTCTGGGGAGGGAGAGAGAGGAGTGGAATCTGGAAGCTGTAATCAGAGCCTCCAACATGTCTATAATATTTTAATATGGCTATTATATTTTCTTTTTTTTTTAAAGGTACCTGAAGTAAATGTCTTAATGTTAGATATGCTAAAGCTCAATGGTAGATTTTCATTGTAGTCTCTATTTTGTATAAGTTTGAAATAATTCAAATAAAATTTCAGTTAAAATTTTTAAACAAAAAAGGTATTTTTAAAGGTGTTAGAAAAATGTTGTGTTAGCCATCTTGTTAAACTAGGGGGGTGGTGTGTAAACTGTGGAGTCTTCTTTTCATTTTCTCTAATTATGACACTGTTTTTGTCTTCTGTCTACACTAGATTTTGTTTCATTTATGCTTTTTATTGGCTTTTATGAACATACCGTTGCCTAGTAAAACAATTAACACATTTAAAATTGTGATTATTACCTAGTTAAATTTTACATTATTTTTGTTGCTACAGAGAAAGGATTTTTAAAAAGTTGTGGCAATTATATAGGTCAAAAGCTAGGAAAAGTAATAAAATTCATGTACAAGCTTTCACACAACTATTCATTTTCATTATTGCTAGCAGTGATTATATTGAAAGGATAATATATCACTGTTTAATAACTAGGTCTCTTTTCATTCAGAGATTTCTGGCACAGAATTTTTTGATAGCCTTTAAGCTTCTTTATTTATTCTAGAAATGATCCCTAAGTGAACTGTGATAAATTTTAGGATGAGCAACAGTGAATTAATAACAAACACTTACCTGTGATTACCTGGCTTGGCAGATTTTAATGTGAAGGATGAAATCACAGCTTTGGGAGACAGCTTGCGAGGGGCCTGTATGGATTCATTTTGGACAGAAAAGAAAGATGTTGGAAGATTTTTTTAATATTAAAAACATCTTAAAATATTAAAAAAGTACCAAAGATACTTTTATTGAAATTATAACCAGTCATTAAATTTTAAGCTTTATTGTACTTCTTAGGTGTGGAGGTAATAGATGTATTAGATAATCTTTTGGTTTTGGTAGAAGAATGTATCCCTTAAAAAGCAGATTATTTGTCTTTTGTTATTTTATTTTAATGTATAATTTGCTAAATTACCTGTATAAAACAGTGTAACTTCTATACCTCACATTTTTTAAATGTTTATGTTTGGTGATATGGTTGACATTTCAAACACATGATTTAATGCCTTATTGATGATAAACGGTTTCTAATTTTATATGCAATTTTCTTGACACTTATTACCTATCATTTGTATGCAACTGATAGATTTAGGAATGTTCTTTAGAGTTAGGACTGTCTCTGCCTTTTCACCTGCTTATATTTCACCACTTCAGAGAAATAAATAATAGTGTGTTTGGCCTGTAAGTGAAAACAAAAGTAAAAATATGTACAAAAATCCCTTTAAATGTCAGAGTACTTTACAGTGTATGTTAAGCATTATTTTAAAAACCTAAACTAAAAATTGAATTTATGTGATTCTAGAAGTAGCAGGAAAGTAAACAGTTGTCTGGTGACTTCATTTTATAAATTTTGGTAACTAATATTTATTGGGAACCTACTATCAAAGCAATATTTGCCACTTTTCATACTTTGTTCAGTTGTTATATCAACTCTGTGTATTAGATATTTCCATTATATCTGTTTTACAGTTGGAGAAATGTAGACTTAGGAAGATTTAATATTTTGCCAAAGATAGTATTGACTTGGTCCCTCTAATACCAAAATACTGATCAAAGATGAGAAAACAGGCCAGAAAATTCATGTTAGTGTCATATGATGAGCTTTACTTAACATTATGTGTCATTGGGAGCCAGCATGTTTAGATTCTAGTTTTGTTTCTATTTCTTATGAAGTATATATTTTTCTTTAGTATAATGCTTCATCCCAGCAACAAAGAGAAATCATTAAAAGTAGAAGCTTGGACAGGAGGCTACAAGAACCAATAGTATTAACAAAGTGGAGACATAGCACCATTGTGCTGGATACCAATGACAAGGTAAGACTTTTTTTGAGAAAGTCTCTTGAGAATTTTGGCAAATTCTTTATTATTTTATTTTCTCCTTCGTTGAATCTGATGATACCTTGGTGACTAGTGTTTTATTGTATTTGGCATCAGTTTGTCCCGGAATACGTTTCGGTTTTGAAGTGTTTTGATTTTTGCACAGTGGACCTTCTTATCTGTAGCTTAATGATGTACATAAACCTTGATACATTTAAGCCTAGAAGTTGACAGGGTTTTTTTGTTTGTTTGTTTGTTTGTTTTTGATAACCCTATTTTAAAGTCACATATCTGTTAATTGTCTTCAACCTCTAGGAGGTTTTATAGTACAGACAATTAATTTTCCCCATCCCAGGGAGATTGTAATCCTTTACCCTTTGTTTCCCTAAATGCTCTGTGCATATAGTGCTGCTTTCATCAGAGAAATAATGTTCTCTATTTCATACAGGGGATGAATTTTGATGCAAACTTCAGAATGGAAAAGCCACAAAGTTTTTAACTTCCTTGTTATATCTCTTTATGTAGCTGCATTTTGGGGATGGAGTAGGAAATCATTTCAAATTTTCAGAACATAGGCATACATGCTAATGTTAAAAGATGATGGTAGCAGCAACATCCCAATACTAAATAAATTAGTTTAGAAAGATATTAATGGGGACTTTTTAAAAATTTCACTATCAGGCTTCTCTTTTGACATAATTAACAGGTTTCCTGCATTTTTAAGTGTGTTACTGAGAGCAGAATGAATTCTCCTAAGGCATAGTTCTCTATATTTGGATACTTTGTCTTAAATTCCTTTATAAATTATCTCAATCTGTCAAGTTTTTTTTTAATTTTTTATTTTTATCTTTTGACTACAAGTGACTAAAATTGGTCTTTGTTAATTAAAAGGAGGATTTTTGTGGAGCTGTAGAAATAGTCTGCACATATTATAAGATAGACTAATGGAACAACAATGAAAGTGGTAGATCAGTTTCTAATTTATGTCTTGTATGGTTGAATGCTGAGGGCATATTAAAGGATTGAAATTCTGGGGTTTGTGCTATTGAAGGACACTTGAAAATACAGTACTATTGAGATTAACCTGAGTAAGATTCCTAGAGATTTTAATAGAAAAACTCATTTTATTCCAATAATCAGATTATAATTCAGGGTATTTAGAAAGCTGCCGAAAACCATATATAATGCTCTAATGTAAAAGCCATTATTGAACCAACTCCACTGCCTCATAATGCTGAGCAAAAAGGATGATTATTTTGGTGATGTAGACTTACAGTTTCTTCTTTTTAATCTTTGTTGAAATTTATGTTCAGTCAATTAGAATAACTTTCATGAAGTGCTTATGTTTCCTTTTTCATCTAATTGTTTCAGAGTTGTGAGGACGCGATTTTCTTGAGGCTAGATATTCACTTATTTTTGGTAGAAATGTCTTTTTTCCCCATCTATCCTTTATAAATAGAATCAGAGATAATTGCTTCACCCAGTAAACTTTCCTTTTAATCATTGGCTAATAATACCTCTTTAAGATTTGAGGCTATGCAAGAGGGACTATACCAGAACAAACTAGCTGACTAATATAAAGGGGTAAAGTGTGTATAACTTGAAATATAATTATAGAAACCTGCTGTGTAGCAAATGTTATGATGTTACAGACAATCTTGGAGGAGAGAGGTATGTGTATATTATGTGTGTATATATGTGGTGCATCTGTTTGTTTCTGCCTGTGTATGGTTTTTACTAAAACCTGCTGTTTGAAGACATTTAATACATATTTACATATGCATATACATTTATAAGTATACATAGATAAATGTATATATGTAAAATGGTTTCTTGTTTATAATTGAAATTGTTACACATAATTACTCCATTTGATGTGGTTTAATTTTTGTAGGACTGAGGTGCTATGAAAAAATAAATTATCATTCATTGTATTCATTTGCTTGTTTTCTAGTTTGTGGGTCATCAGATCTTTCCTCTTTTTCTCAGACTATTTTATTATTAGACACTCTTAGAAGTTAAGAAATTGAAAAATGAAATATCTGAATCTATCAGAAAAAGTACTTCAATTAGGCTAAGCTGAAATTTGGACATTAAGTATAATGTCTTTTTTAGAGATATTTTTGGTATGACATAAATAGTGTAGACTGAGGATGTTTGACTTGGAAGGCCAACCCTTCAAGGGTTTTTCCTGTAAGCTTCCATAACTGCCTAATTTCTCCACTTACATATTATGTAGGATATACATCTGAAGACTTTTCCCCAATTGAATGGATGTTAAATAACAGTTTTTGCATTATGATTTAATACAAATTTCCAGGTTTGTAGACAGTACGTTACCCAGCTTCATAAGCATAGAAAAATAGACTAATACACATGTGAAGATGAATGTTTAAAGAGATTATTTGGTTTTATAGGAAAATTAATAATTGGTATTGGCATATGATTTTTAAAATTCTCTTTTTCTTGGAGTTATTCAAAGCATCTAGGGGAATGGAGAAAATTTAAATGGAGCTTGGCTGTTGTTATCAAAAAAAATGTTTTTTCAGCCTTATCCTCCATGAATAGTCTTAAAAATATCTGTGTTAGAAATCACAAACCATGTTTCAGTAATTGCTTTAGAAATGTACATTATTGGTTTGCCCCTGTTGTATTCCTGTTGGCTTGGATTTTAAAATATTTTTTTCTGGTGAGTTATTAATCTTTAAATCTGAGGTGTCTTTTTTTGCATTTAAAAAATTTGACTTATTTCTAATAATTGGAAAGTGAGCTGTAAATTACTTTAAATGCTAATAGTAACTTAATTTCTTACGTAGCTGTTGACTAAAATAAAGTTCTCATTCTGACAGTTGTCAGGTAATTCCTGTGGCTATTATTTACCTAATCCTGGATATTCATACTTACCATACCAAGATCAAGTCAGTATGGTGAATATTACATTTTTATCCACAGTGTTTAGATTTTACCTACTTTAAATATGGTTAATTCAACCTGATGTAACATCATGATTTTAACCCAACATGCATCATTTCTTTGAGCAATTCTGTATGCAGTATTTGAATTTCACTGTAAATGGTGAAATACGCCGTATTTCATAAACTTTGATATCTGTAGTTTTCAAATCAGTACCATATTAGTTTCAGAGCTCAATATAGAAGGAAAATGACTAGAAAAATAATTTTCTTAGCTTCTCCTATTAAGTTCTCCCACTGTGAGTAAAAGGAGTAATATATAAAATAGAGTAACATTTTTCATTACTTATTTCTTATAGGAATCTCCACCTGCCTCAAAACCCTGCTTTCCTGAAAATGAGTCTTCTCCCTCTTCACCAAAGCACCAAGATACAGTTAGTATGATAGCTTGTAGTAAAATTTAGTCAAGATATTTCAATCATTATCAATAAATGAATCTTCTCTAAGTATAATATTTATTTCTTGGGCTTCTATTAAGCTTCATTGCTTTTTTTTTCTTCTTAAAAATAATTACAAATAACCCTGGCCAGTGGCTCAGTTAGTTGGCACATCATCCCGAACACCAGAAGGCTGCAGGTTTGATCCCCGGTCAGGTCACATACCTAAGTTGTGGGTTTGATCCCCAGTAGGGGCTTGAACAGGAGGCAACCCATCGATGTTTCTCTCACACCAATGTTTCTGTCTGTCTGTCTGTCTGTCTCTCTCTCTCTCAAAAAAAAAAAAATCAACAAACATATCCTCTGGTGATGATTTAAAAAAGGAATAATAATTACAATTGAAATAGGTTTAAATTCAAAACCAGGTTATACTGATTTAAAGACCCCTTTTGGTGAACAATATGGTATTTTAATGATTAATTTATATGCCATTCTTGTAAGTGATATTTGTTTGGTTTTTAGAAATAAATATAAAGATCCTTGGAGAATCCTATCAAATTATATTTGACCTTTTTTCCCTCAGGCCAGCAGTCCAAAGGTAAGAAGAATTTCCCTCCTTAATGAGCATAGATGCCATTGTTTTTCTCTATGCTATAAAATGCATTGCTCAGCCTATGCTAGCTGAGTATTGGAGAAATGAAACTCAACTTCTAAGTTTCCCCTAAACTGAAAACCTCCCATTGACCTTTCTCTATGTATCTGTCTTAACTGGGATGAAATTGTACTTGATCTCTCTATTTGAAGTTCCTCCCATTCTTTCCTGTAATTTGTGGACCCTGTTTTTCCTTGTTTGTTAGTTCTCTTTTCTTTTAGAAAGAAGACTGCAGTTTTTAATGAGGACTGCAAGATTTTGCGTGCTCTGGCTCTTGACTGATTCTCCAGCCTCACCTCATACTTCTTGGTTCTAATCTTTCCTCCTGGCTTGTTTTCCTCAGGCTACACTGCCCTTCTACACATTCCTCAAAGGAGCCTGCTTTGCAGCTTGAGGTCCTTGCACTGTCATTCCTCTGCCCACTGAAATATTTTTCTCCCACATCTTTTTGCCTAATTAACTTCTGTTTATTCATTAGAGCTCAGTTCAAACTTTGCTTCCTCAGAGAATTTTATTTAAATCTTCTAGATTTGGTCAAGTTTCCTTGTAATACTCTTCATGTCATTAAATTATATGATACTTAATTGCATGAAATTGAATAACTGTGCTTCTTATGTAATAGAGGAGCCTTGAATGCTCTATTAATAACCTGCCTTCCCCACTAGACAAAGAAAAGCTTCATTAGAGTAGGAACAGCATCACCCCAATACCTATTGCAGCACCAGGTAGTACATGTTCATTAAATGTTTGTTGAATGAATAAATGAAACCTTTAAAGCTTTTAAAAATATAAACTTTGTTACTTTTTAATTTTATGAAACTATAATAGACTGTTATTTATTAAGATACTTCCGAGTGCTTAGTCAGAGGCAAGGATTCCCACAGATGCCAAATTTTACTTTTCTAACTCTCTCCATTCTTTAACTTTGTCAGGTCTTCCATGGTTCATATCACCTGTTATACACATTTCCCTCTGACATTGCTCAGGTAGTTCCCCTGCCTCCAACGTCCAGACTAATCTCAGCATGATGATGATCATCTCTTTTTTTCTTTTTTCTGAACTCCCAGGTTACATATTGCATTGAATGGTATAAAAGTTACTTCATGTATCCCTTCTCCCCCCTACTGAGGTTTCAAACTCCTAAGGGATAGATAGGGACTACATTTTTACTTTTTTATCTTTTGCATTATTTTACACAGTTCTGGATTCACAAACATTAAAGATAAATGTAAACATATTAGTGGTTTTGTAAAGAATGAGTGTATGGATCTAAGGTGCTGTTACTACCATACTCTTTTTCAGTCCACCGCGGAAAAAAGCAGAAACCTCTTTAAGTTATTTTAAATATAGCTAATATATAATTCATAATAAGACCTTTATCAATTATTTCTATTTTGGTAAAAGGGAATTTCTAGGTAATCTTAGAAATAGGACTTTGTAAATGTTCTATATAGGGGTACAAAGGACTGTTTGCAAACTATTTTTCCCTGCATTAGCCATTTTCTGAAGGGTTTGAAAGCAACTAGACCTTCCTGGACTCATGACACCCTCTGATGGCCATCACCGGGAAGTGCCTCACCAGGGTTTCTTCTCTCGTTCTTTGTGTATCTCCAAGAGGAAACAAAACTAAACAGTGAACAACTCAGTAAATTCTACCTGCGGGCAGTCTGTTTCCACACAGCCACTCCTTTCCAATGGAATGGGGAATGCTGGGAAATGCGCCTCTTTCCTGCTGTCAGCCCCTCCTCACTGAGGCTTCTGCCCTCCTAGACTTCCCTTCCTCCCTCTCCCTTTGCTCTCTCTTCTCCTTTTGCCCTGGTTCCACCTAGTCTTGCCTGTCTGTCCCACTCTTACTCAGTTAATACAAGGAGATTTCTCCCCTTTTTTGGTGAGTTAAAATATGGTTGGAAGCCTTCAGAGGTTAGAAAAAGGAAGCCACGAATTTAGAGATGAATATGATATAATAATCAGTGTTCACTGTTGATGTCATCTTAAAATCTCTGCAAATTGCCCATCTACCTCTTCAAACTCTAGTTTTTTTTAAAAATCAAAGCTTTATTGAAATGTAATTCACATATCATGCAGTTCACCCATTTAAAGTGTATAATTCAGTTGTTTTTAGTATGTTTAGATATGTGCAACCATCATCACAGTCAGCTTTAGACCATTTTCCTCATCTCAGAAAGAAACTCTGTACTCTTCCTTAAGTAACCAGTAGTCTTCTTTCTGTCTTACTAGATGTGCCTTTTCTGGACATTTCATATGAATAGAATCATACAAAACATGTATTTTTCGACAGGCCTTGTTCACATATTTTCATCCAGTCTCTTCTAAGCAAACCAGATTTAAAACTCCATTTCTTAATATAAATTTTAGATATGTTCATTTTTATTTCATTTCTAGTTTTCAAATGCATTGTTATTTTCATAGATAACTGCACATCATTTTTGGAAATGGCAGTTGCATACATTTTAAAAAGTACTATATTTTCTATAAGATGACCTCAGTATGGATTGAATAGGATTTTTATGAACTGTTTTAGAACCTAATCTCTTTGTCACAGTGTACATGTTAGAATATGCATTTTAAAGTTCTCCATTCTGAATACTGAGTAAAATTTTAAAATACACAGTTTGGAAACTTGAGCTTTTCAACCTGTGTTTCCAATTACAGTATTGGAGAAAAAGACATTTTCAACATTTCTTTAAGAAAAGTATTAATGGAAAAAATTGGTAGTTTTTCCATTGAACGATACTATTTTAAAAGCTTTTAAAATGTGTAATTTGAATATCTAATTTTTTAATAGCACTAGTTTAAACTTTTTTTATTAAAGTGAAATTCATGTAACAAAATTAAACATTAACCATCTTAAACTGCACAGTTCAGTGACATTTCATACATTACAATGTGCAGCCGTCCCTTCTACCCGGTTTCCGACATTCTCATCCCTCAGAGGGGAGCTCACACACTCAAGCAGTCCATGTACATCTCCCCATCTCCCACCCTCTCCTCCTGCAGCCACTTGTTTGCCTTCTGTGTCTGTGGTTTATCTGTTCCGGAAGTTTCTGGCTCTTTTTCAACACTCTGTCACTGTGCATGCTTACTTTTACTGTATTACAAGAATCTTAGTATTAAACAATTATGATTAACAACATAAGAATTTTGATGGACTGTATTAATTTTTTTAAAATCCTCATCTAAGGATATGTATATTGATTTGAGAGAGAAACATTGATCAGTTGCCTCCTGTACATGCCCCAACTGGGGGTCAAACCTGCAACTTAGGTATGTGCCCTGACTGGTGATCAAACCCACAACCTTTTGGTGTGCAAGACGATGCTCCAACCAATTGAGCCACCCAGCCAGAAGTGGACTCTTGATTTTGGTACATAATACTTGCTAGCCAAAACTGGGAAATGCCTATTTTACTAAATTAATGCCAGGTTGATTAGAATTTCTGGGGCCTGCAAAGTAATTATGAACCTGTGGAAGTTTTCCTAAATTAATAGAACTGACATTGTATTATTTTCTTGCCTTACTAGGATATGGTAATCTTACTACATTTTTTTTGCTTAAAATTTAGCCATATTTTGCTAATCATTATTAAAACATTTGCTTATTTCATCAAGTTTTGGATATCAACCATATTTAGACTAAGATATATTCATGTATGAAAATGAGCATTTTTTACTCGACTTAAGATATTTTTATGAAGTTATTTTAGTAACACAAAAACATCAGCTAATATTTAATCATGTTCATTAGAGAAAGGATACCAGATAGTTTGAAATAAAGATCTAATTTTTTCCCACAAATATCTCACCTGTATAGCCAAACCTGTATTATTCATCTACCCACTTGGCATTTTTATGTCACATTCAGAATCTTCAGTGTTTGAAAGTTAAAGCTTGTATTTCTTTCTTGTGATAGCACTGCTAATTTGTTGGTCTAGTATTTCAAGAAAGATCTATTGAACTACAAAGATCTATAGATGCTGTATTAGACACTGGTCTTACATTGATGAATTAATAGATGCAGTCCCAGTGTACAAGCTAATGGAGTAGACAGTGAATAAGTAATAGATACGTAGTTGTACTTTGCATTAAATGCAATGAAAACACAAACAAACAAATGGGACAGTAGTACATAATGGGAGAGGTGGAGGAGCTCCTACTTACCAAAGGTCAGGGAGAGAGCTTCTCTTAAAAGGTGTCATTGAAGCTGAGATGCGACCATCTACCCAATTTGCTCAAGTTTGGGAGTCTCCTTCAGATCTTCCTTCTCACCCTCACATTCAGTTCCTGTCCATCTGTCCTCTAAATCTCACTCAGATCGGGGCCCTCTTCACTCTCTCTCTGTCACTGCCCTAGCTCAGGCCTTCAACGTCTCTTACGGAAATTATTACGGTAGAATGGTGTTCTGGTTGATTCCAGCCTGCCACCCTTTCTTAGTTCATTTTTTCTACTGCCTCATTACTCGCTCCCTCACCTCACCTGGTACTCTGAGGAAACTTTAAGGCCCTCACTATGATATGCTCTCTCTAGCTTCTGTGCCTTTGTATTATCTGTTTTTATTTTGTTTTGTTTTGTTTTTTCATCTCCTGTTTCCATCTAGCTCTTATTCCTAGTTTAAGCGTCAGTCTCCAGGAGGCCTTCTTTCTCTCCCAGGTTGTGTTAGATACACCTTTCTCATAGCACTTACCACATTGTATGGTAATCGTTTTTGTGTTTATACATTTTGGATATGGCAGATTTTGTTCTTACTTTATATCCAAGTTAGAATATTTAATACAGCTTTAGTACTTGGGTCTTGATCCCTGTAAGAATTTTGTGAAAGTTTTGGACCCTTTCCTTTAATGATGCATGTACACGCACAATTTAGTATCACTTTCTCCATCCAATGATTTAGGTAAGAATCTGTGATGTAGAGTGTCTCTCTCATCCTTAGGCCTAGACCGTTTGTCGGTATGGCTGTCCCTCCATGTTTTGACACCTGTATTTCCTTTCTGCCTCTGCTTTGTTGCCCTGTGAGTTTCAGTTTGGGCATTTTTATAAGCTCGATTCCTATGTCTCTGCCCTTCCAGTTCCTGTGCTCACATAGCCAATCCCCATCCTCTCAGATTAATATTGTTACTTAAGTTCCTATTTCATTGAAAGCTTCTTTTTCCTTCTCTGCTTCTTATAGTAAATGGAGGAATGATCTTACTGAACATCCTGTGCATACTTACAACTGTGTATTTGATGTTTTTCTTGAGAGACAGCAAAGAGTTCTTATAAAACATATCAGATTTATACATCTAAGGAGATCTAACCTATGCTCTATGGAAAAATTACATAAAAGCTTCATACGAGTATTTCCCAAGTTCTCAGTATACCAAAAATGTGGATCAGCAACAGTGTGTCAGCTTTGTTTATAGATGTGCATTTTTATCAGACAGGCAAAACTTTGAAACATTATTTCTTAGACATTATTAAGAAAATATTTACTATTATGTTCATCTTTCATACAAGAAAAATTTATTTTTTGTAATGAAAGACATGGAGAAAATAGCTGAGGTGTGAATTAAATAGAAACAAATTCTGGATTGGGAGTAATCTCCTCTGTCTGTATGTATGTGTTTCAGTTAAAGTAAAATTGACTGCTCCATCATGTACATACAGTGCTTCCTAATGTTGATGATTGCTATAGGCACAATGATTTGAATTAAGTTCATTTGAATATATAGGAAGCTAAATCAATGAGAAAGGGCTGCTTTAGTTCCACCAGGAATAATTATAAGATAACATTGAATTAGAGCATAATGACTGTTGCCTTTACAGTGTTTGATGATAAAGCTGTCACTATTTTTGACATCAACCAACTGATACATCTAGTTTTTTTACAGAGACCAATTTACCATCTGATAGTGTGTTTAATGAAGCACATACTAAATTTTTAACACCACATTAAGGCCAGTTCTATTCATAATACCATTACTTTTGAATAGTTTATTAAGTACATCACTACATTTGTTCTGTCTGGTTTTTGCATTCTGACAAAATGGAACAGTATCTTAATAATTTTCAGACTATATTGTTGTAAAGTAACAGCAAAATAAATAATTCATTTTTTGTGGTATTTATCATAGCATTGTATTACTTTCTTTGAACAGGAAGTCATTATTTGTTTTCCAGTGCTGACTTGTAGCATTTATATGGAAATCTAATTTGGTAGCAAAATACCTTATGGCTGCTATGACTTGGGAAGAGGAAGCTTTTAATTATAGAATTACTGAAACTAAATTTACAGATGTATTAGGAAATATATTCTAAAAAAGAACTAAACACATTACATACTAATCTTTTAAGCTAATTTTTAGAGTATCAGATCATTTTGATTCAGTCATGTGTAAGGATTATATATATATATATATACATCCACACACAGAGTATTATTCTGTTCCATAGGGTCAAGAGAAATATGGATTATTAAATGTAACGAAAATTACGGAAAATGGAAAAAAGGTTCGGTAAGTACATAAATCATAATGTTCTCATATGTTTCATCTGCTTGCAATAAAAACTATGGATATAATTATATTCTAGTAGAAATGTTTAAAAGGTTCATAAGAATGTCAAATAATATATTTTGTAATATCTTTACAAAATTTTGTATTACTTTACAAAAATTTGTACATACTTTACATATTTTGTAGTGTATGTAGGATTGTCATGAAATGTATGAAAATTTTTGTCTTGACATACTAAGGTGAAATTAAATTCAGAGGTGAAAAAACAGAGGATTCTGACCAAGAATTAGCTTTATTTTAATTTTGTTCAATAAAAAAAATGCACATGACAAAGACCAAAGGTATGCACAATATCTAATTAAAACGCAGTCACCTAAGAAGCTAATGAGATATAGTGTTTTCCTTCAGAGATAGAATACATATGTTTGTATGTACATAGGTTAATTCTTTAAACACAGTCTTTTGACAGTTTATCTTGGAGATGGTTTCATTTCATTGCAGGTAGAGCTGCCACATTGTTTCTAACTGCTGCTTAGTTACATATGGTATGGCTGTGTCACAGTTCATTTAACTTAGTTATTTGTAAGAATGTAATTATGCCTCTCAATTGTGTAAGGATGTTTACATTTTTTTAAAGAGTTTATTTATTTTAGAGAAGGGAAGGGAGGGAGAAAGGGAGAGAAACATCAATGTGTTGTTGCATCTCGCATGTCCCCTGCTGGGGACCTGGCTTGCAACCTAGGCATGTGCCCTACACAGGGAATCAGCTGGCAACCCTTTGGTTCACAGGCCAGCGGCGCTAACTCCATGAGCCACACCAGATAGGGAAGATGTTTACATTTTTTTTTGCAGTTACAAAGAAAATTATACCTAGTATCTTGGCCTAGCTTATTTTGCGGGTATGTAACAAGTCCTGTAGAGTAAATTTTACAAGAGTGGAATTGCTAAGCCATATACAGTGGTCATTTTGGTAGAGCATTCCAAAATGTTCTCTGAAGCATTGAATTGGCCCCTACCTCCCAATAGCAATGGATTTCTCCACACCTTTGCCAATTTAATATGTTGTTAGAGTCTTTGATTTTTGCTAATGGAGATTAGAGAAAATATGGTATTTTCATTTGCCTTTGTGTGGGGGTTGGGGAGTAGAGTGTCATAGCCATTAGTATTTCTTTTGTTGTTGTTGAATTGTCAGTTTATATCCTTTGTCTGTTTTTCTATTGGGTTGTTGGGTTTTTTTGATTAATATCTTAGTAAGATTTTATAATCAAAATGAGATCAGTTTGCTTAAGAAAGTTTAAAATCTACACATAGTTGAGTTTTCAAATCTATGTGGATGAGCAATCAAATCTGTGCTTTAGTTGAACTGTCTTTATTAGATTTTAGTACTTGAAAGTTTTAAATGCTCTGAAATAGCTTTACACTTACTGCAATTATCTGTTCCTTAAACTGTTCTTTAGTAGAAGTCACCTGTAAATTCGGTCTTTATTTTTCTCTTTCTCTCTTCGAATGTATATAGTGCAGGTAATTCTTTGGCCACTTTATTTTTATTGTTGTTTTAACCATGATAATTTTAAATTTTCTATCCCTTTTGGAATATTTTTGGTGATTTATGTTTTCCTAAGAATGTCATCTATTTTATCACCTTCAAATTTATTTACATAGAGTTGAGCAAAATAGTCTTTGAATTTCTAATGTATTAGTGGTTCACATATATTTATGGTCTGAGGACACCTTTAAACTCTTAAAAATCATTAATCACTGCAAAGAACTTTTGTTCATATTGTTTATAGAGAGATACTATGAGAAATTAAAGCAAACATTTTCAGAATATTTATACTCTTTTGAAACTAATGATCTATTACCTGTTAACATAGATAACATTTTTATGAAGAAAAAAAGTCTGTATTTTCTATTTCTAATAAAAAAAATTCTATGAGAAGGATACCTTGTTTTACATTTTCACAAATTTTTAATATCTGTTTCAATGGAAGAAGATTGCTGATTCTTGTCTCTGCTTGTGGCCAATTTGTTTTGACATAAGATTTTGATTGAAGTATGTGAAGAAAATTCTCCCTTAAACAGATAAAGTTGGAAAAGGGGGAATACTTTAATAGCTTTCTGAGATAATTGTGCATATTTTTTCTGCTGCACTGAAACTGACAAATGTAGTTGCAGTGAAGAATTTGAAAAACCATCAGTGAACTTTTCATACTGTTACATTAAAATCCACTGTTTAAAATGAATCTTTGCCCATTCATAATTTGGTAGCATCTTGTGGTCATTTGGAAAATACCAGTTTATTAAGTTTGCTGATTGCAAATGTTGACACATTTTCTTTCATAATGTCAAAGAATCACAAATCAGTAATATCAGAAAAGTCGTAAGTATTAGAAAATTGCCAACTTTACAGTTGGCAGATATGCCAAGTTTTCCAAAATCTACTTTCTCTTTGTAACCTTTAACTTTTTCGTGTCTAACAAAAGTTTGTTATGTGCCATTGAGTCAGCTCCGACTTCTGGCCACCAAGGATAAATGAGTGACTTCCATTATGTCCTGTCCTCACCCACCCTGCTTAGCTCCTGTAGATTCACCCCTGTGACTTTTATGGAGTCAGTTCATCTCGTATTTGGTATTCCTCATTTCCTGCTGCCTTCTAATTTTTTCAGCATTACTGTCTTTTCCAAAGAATCTTGCCTTCTTCTGATATGCTTGAAGTAGAACAGTTTCAGTTTTGTGATTTTTCCTTCAGTTGGTGTTTTAGGCTTAATTTGCTCTAGGACCCACCTGTTTGTCTTTCTGGCAGTCTAGGGTGTTCTTAGAGCTCTTCTTCAACACCATGTTTCAAGTGAATCCAGTTTTTCCCTATCAGCCTTCTTTACTGTCCAGCTTTTGCATCAGTACATAGTAATTAGGAATACCAGGGTGTGGATGTTCTTAGCCTTGGTCTCTAATGACACATCCATGCTCTTAGTGATCGTCCCTAATTTCTTCCATTGCTGCCATTCTGAGTCTCCGCCTTCTCTGCTTTTCTTGGCTGCAATCTTCATTTGAATTAATGACTGAACCAAGGTAAGCAAAATCTTTAACAGTTTTGGTGTGTTCATTGTGTATGTTAGAATTGTGTATTTCTTCTGTAGTCATGATATTTCTCATCTTAATGTTTAAATGCAGTCCTGCTTTGACACTTTATTCTTTCACTTTCATCAGAAGTTGTTTCAAATCATTACTACTTTCCACCAGTAAGGTGGTGTCATCTGCATATCTTACTGATACCTTACATTACTGAAATCTCTTCCACCAATTTTCACTCCTTTCTCTGAGTCTAGCCTAGTTTTTTGTATGATATGTTGTACATACAAATTAAACAAATAGGGAAATAAAGTGTACCCTAGTCTGATACCTTTTCCTATAGGGAACCATTCCGTCTCTCTATATTCTGTCCTGGCAGTATCTTCCTGTCCACCATACAGGTTACACATCAGGGCAGTCTAGCACTGAGGCACGCCTTTTTTTTTTTTCTCTCCCCCCCCCGCCCCAGAGCAACGTAGAGCTTTTTATGATTCACACAAATGATCTATAAAATGTAGACCAAGCTTCTTCTGAAATTCTTTGTGGCACTCCAGTGTCCAGTGAATGATAGCAATTAGATGTTGAGTGGCTTTTTTTTCCTGAATCCACTTTAACATTTAACATGTCAAAAAACACCATTATTTATTGTCTTTGAAATGAAAGAGATTTATTTTGGAGATCTTTATTTTTTTTGAGATAATGTCTTTTTGCCAAATAATCAAGTCTAAATAACCATAGTTTGTCTATTAGTTTTTTTTCAGGCAAAAATTTGGGTCCCATGAAAAAAATGTGACTATTTCTGTTTGTAACACATTTACACAAAGTGCTTCAGTTCTTGAGGCAACTGTTAATTCAGTGTTCAAATTTCAATATTTTTCTCACATATTTAACTCCTGTAGTTTTTATTTTGAAAATTAAACTGAAGTTTATTTTAAATGGAAATACATATTAGCATTTTTCAGTGTAGGGAGTCAGTAGACATTATTTAAGGACAGAGATTGAATATAAAAATTTAAAAATAAAAATAAATTCTTCCAAAATAGTTTAAGACATGTGCACCAAACTAAGTAGTAAAATAAAATGAAAATATAAAAATGATGACAGAAAAGGCGCCAAACAGCCTATCAACAGGCGCAAATGTACTGTACTCATCTGTTGAAAGTAAAAGGTGCTCAGACTAAAGCATAAAATAAAGCTCCATTGAATACTATATATACAAAAAGACATCAAAAAATGATCCAGAAAATTTTTTAAAAAACAAACACTTGTCAAAGACAGAGTAAAAGCTGGAATAGGGAACTTAATACCAGGCAAGTTCAATTCGGGGTAAAATCATCAAGCACCACAAAGATGAGTACTTAAAATGATAAAGCACTGTGAATAAATCTGTGGATATTAAGGATAGCCATTCAACAAATAAGCATGAACAACCATAAGCAAAAAGAACAGGAAATAACAAGAAAAATAAATAGAAACTTGGTAGTAGTAAACTTTTTCTTAAATTTTTTCCCCTCATTTTATTGAGAAATAATTGCCATATATCACTGTGTAAGTTTAATGCATACAGCATAATGGTTTGTTTTACATATATTGTGAAGTGATTAGCTCAGTAGGTTCAGCTAACATCCATCTTCTCATATAGACAGAATAAAAAGAAAAGAAAAAAGGAAAAAAATGTTCTCCTTGTAATGAAAACTCACCGGATTTACTCTATTAAACAGCTTTCCCGTATATCATAAAGCAGTGTTAGCCCTAATCATCATGTTGTACATTATATGTCTAGGATTTATTTATGTTATAACTGTGTAGTTTGTACCTTTTGACAACATTTTCGTCCAATTTCCCCTCCCCTACCCTCTGCTTTTTTTTCTATGAAGTTTTATTGTGTTTTGTTAAGATTCCACATACAAATGAGATCATACAGTATTTGTCTTTCTGTGTCTGACTTATTCACTTAGTATATGTCTTCAAGTTCTGTTCATGTTGTCACAAGTGGCAGGATTTCCTTGTTGTTGTTTTTTAATGGTTGAATAATATGCCATTATATGTATATATACCACAACTTCTTTATTCATTCATCCATCAGTCAGCACTTAGGTGGATTCCTTATCTGGGCTATTGTGAGTAATGTTACTGTGAACTTGGGAGTGCAAATATTTTTTCGAGTTTAGTGTTTTTGTTTCATTTGGATATGGTCCCAAAAGTGGAATTGCTGGGTCATAAGGTAGTTCTATACTTAATTTTTTGAGGAACCTCCATACTGTTTTCCGTAGTGACTGTACCAGTTTATAATCCCACCAGCAGTACATAAGGTTTCTCTTTCTCCACATCACTTGTTATCTCTTGTCTTTTTGATGATGGTCATTCTAACAGGTATGAGGTGATATCTCATTGTGGTTTAATTTGCTGTAGTGATTTGAGCATCTTTTCATGTGCCTATTAGGCTTTCATATACCTTCCTTGAACAAATGTCTATTCAAATTATTCACCCATTTTTAAATTGGGTTACTTGATCTTTTGCTGTTGAGTTGTATGAGTTCTTTATGTATTTTGGACAGTAACCCCTTATCAACTTTATGGTTCGTAAATATCTTTTCCCCATTCCATAGGTTGTCTTTTCACTTTGTTGATAGTTTCTTGTGCTGTGCAGAGCTTTTTAGTTTGATGTAGTCCCACTTGTTTATTTTTTTAGTTTATTTTTTATTGTTGTTCAAGTACATTTGTCTCCATTTTCCCCCACTAGTTTCTCCTGCCCCCACCTCCTACCTCCCACCCTCAATCCTGTCCACCTTTGGCTTTGTCATGGGTCCTTTACACTTGTTTATTTTTTATTCTGTATTTGTACTTTAAGTGTCATATTTTAAAAAGTATTACCAAGACATGTCAAGGAGTTTTATTCTGTATTTTTGATTAGGAGTTTGTGGTTTTGGCTCCTACATTTAGATCCATTTGGAGTTAATTTTTGTTCAGTGTTGTAGGATACAGGTCTAGTTTCATTCTTTTAAGTGTGAATATCCAAGTATCCCAGCACCATTTATTGAAAAGATTGTCTTTTTCCATTGAGTAGTCTTGTGAAATATTAGTTGACTGAGTAGTAATAAACTTTATTTTTTTTTCTTAATACTTAAAGTTTAGACAAAAAAAGAAATAATAATGTAGGTCTAATCGATAGATATTAAATTCTGCATTCTGAAAATGGAGATTAAACCTTTTTTTTTTGAGTGCCTGTAGAGTTTTTACAAAACTGGCCACATGTTTGGCTATAAGGTAAGCCTTAATAAATTCCTGTAGTAGACATATTTGACATCTATTTTAGTCTGCCAGCAATTGACTTCCCTTAAAGGTAAACATTGGTAACCTTTGCCATGTGGATTGAATGAGAATAAATGAGCTTTTCCTTTATTTATTTCTGTATTCAGAATGCTGGATTAGTACCATGTGAGAATAATTAGGTATATACTTACTCTGATAACTTATATCTCTGATTAATTTCATTTGTTTTGGGGCCTTAATGGTCAGGTTGGGACCATACAATTATTAATTTCCAGTAGCCCCATCCCCAGTGAAAACAATTAAAATGTCAGTAATGGCTGTGAACTGTGGACAACATTGATAACCACTAAATAGTCTTTGATTTTTAAAGTTTAGGTGAAAAAACTGGGGAGTTGAACTTTCACTGGTTATCTTTATAATTACAGAAAGAACTGGTTGTCTTCTTGGGCCGTATTGCAAGGTTCATCTTTACTCTTTACCAAAACTCAAGGAAGTAGCACAAGTTGGGTAAGTATTTCTTTTCTTTGGAGGCTTTATATTACAATACATTTAAAGTATGTGGATGGTATTTATTGTAACCGAAGTTCATGAAGTATTCCACAGTCCTTCTATCTATAGCTAGTGTGAAAGTAAAAGTAAATGAAAAGATGAAATATGGCCATCTGCAACAACATGGTTGGATCTTGAGAATATTATCCTAAGTGAAATCAGTCTGCTGGAAGAAGTCAGGAAACATGATTTCATTCACTTGTGGGATATAAAACAGAAAGCAGCAGCAAACAAACAAGCCAAATGAATAAAAATTCATAGACACAGACAGCAGTGTGGTAGTTACCAGAGACAAAGAGAGGTGGGAGGCGGTAGAAAGAGGGCAAAGGGAGCCAAATACATGGTGACGGAAGGAGACTTGACTTTGGGTCGTGAACACACAATGCAACATACAGACAATATATGATAGAGTTGTACACTTGAAACCTGTATACTCTTACTAACCAGTGTCACTCCAATAAATTTGATAAAATTAAAGAAAAAAAAGAACGAAGTTTTCTTAGTAAAAGATGCATTTTGACTCATCAGAGAAAGAAGAGGGATAATTAGAAAAGTCTAGTAAGTAGTTTTTATTAAAATCAGCAACTTCTATTTTATCCATTGAATTGAAAGATGGGCATGCTACTTAGGCATGATAGAAAAATAAATTTCTTGATCCATTTTTAGGATGTAAAAGCTCTCCTATGTTTGTGGCTTTGCTATTTGAGGTATGTAGTCAGAAAATAAGCCGACTGTATCAAACTCCACCCTGAGCTGATCTGACTCCGGATACTAGTCAGTGATTCACATGTTCATGTCTATATATAATATCAGCCAGCTTTTACAAGAAAAAGAAATGTCACCATTACTTGTAGGATTTTTGAAGCCTTTTGTATACTGAGTGTTTACTATTGTTACTCATCAGTGATTTATAGTATAAATACTAAAAATTATAATTTGTGCCATCATTTGTGCTAACACTGTTTGAATGCCTAACATGTGTTAGGTATAATTAAGTGCAATTAGAGAAACATAGTTTAAGAGTCAGTGACCTAGCCAATATTGAAATTGTAGAATTCTTATGAATTTTAACCTTTAGGGATTTACTATTTGAATTTTTACCTTTAGATGAAATTTCATTATACATTGTTAATAATATATGAGGTCTGTCCAGAATATATCCAGCCATGTCATATGAGAAATAGAGAAATTTACTGAAGAAGATACAGGAAACATTGTACATAGGACAGTGATGCCTCAGTCCCCTTCAGAGTAAGCACCTTGGGACCTCACAGTTCTCCCAGTCTCCATCAGCTGCCCCATCCTATTTTCCTGAATCTAATCGATAGTCTGCAATCTCTTTCAAAGGTGATTTTAGTTTTGGGAAAAGCCAAAAGTCCCAGAGTGCCAAATCTGGGCTCTATGGGGGTTGAGTCACCTGGGTGATTTGATGTTTTGCCAAAAAACTCTGCACAAAACGTGATGCATGAGCAGGCGTGTTGTCATGATGAAGCTGCTGATCACCAGTTGCACATAGCTGCAGGCTTCCAAATCACCCATATAGTTTCCATGGAGGAATGTTCAAACTTAACAGTTTGATGCAGATTCATTGCTCTACTTGCTCAGTCATTCTGAATGTGATGGCCACACAGTACACATGCTCACTCAACTGCGTCCACTGCCCCCACTGACCAATATAGTGAAGTCATTGTTCACACATCTCGTTCTGGCCCACTTTCCTTGGCTGCCAGGTTACGTCGATGTCATGCAGACTGTTCTTGTTATATTAACAATGGCTGGACTTCTTCTTGACAGACATTATATAGTAATCGCCCAGGCCAGTGTGGCTCAGTTGGTTGGAGCATCGTCCTGTAAACTGAGAGGTCATGGGTTTGATTCCTGGTTAGGGATACATGCCTAGGTTATAGGTTCAATCCCTAGTTGGGGCATGTAAGAGAGACTACCAATTGATGTTTTTTCCTCACATTGATGTTTCTCTCTCTCTCTCTCTTCCTCTTTTCCCCTCTCTAAAAATCAATGAATATGTCCTTGGGTGAGGACTAAAATAATAATAAGAAGAAAAAATACCATTTCAGATTGATATAATTAAATAAAATACAGTTACATTGTGTTTTGTAGTCTCAATAAAAGCTAAACAGATTTGGAATATGGTAAAATGCTTGGTTATGCAGTCAGTTCTTAATTTTTATTTTATGGCAAATATAATAAAAAGTCTCAGACTACCTAGCTTTTTTCTTCCCATATGTAACACATATTCAAGGAATGAAAACTAATTTAAATAGATTAAGTAAAAGCAAGTAAGTTTATTCAAATAAAAAGTGTGTAGGTATAATGTATTTTGGTATATACAACATTCATAAGTATAAAAAAATTGGTTCAGTAGGCAGGATGTTTTTTGTAGCTATTTTTATTAATTTCTGGTTAATTCCTTTCATCATGCAAAAATCAGCAAATACAGTATGTATCTTACATTTTCTTTTATAGACAAAAGCTGTCACATTATGTATACTTTCGTATTTTGCTTCCTTTTTCTCTCAGGAATATATATTGGAAATCACCCCACTCAGCCCATAACAGTCTTCTTCAATCTTTTTTAGGGTTAAACAATATTCCATTATGTGGATGTTCCATAATTTGTTCTAAGGATGGACATTTAGGTTGTTTCCTGATTTTTCTGTTACAGAATGCCACTTAAGGTGCTACTTTATTAACTCTGTAATACTGATTGTCCAAAAGATTTCAAAGAATTCTAACTTTGTATCTTTGCTCACTCCAATTAGATCTGTTGTAGGTAAAATGTATCCTGAAATACAGTGAAATCACCTCTTACCTGAGGATGAGATGCTAATGCTATCATATAAGCCAAAAAGATAAAAATCACCTAGTGTAAAAATTACCCTTGAATATCTCTTTGGAAAGTATTATGTTAGAACTCAATCTTTAGCAAAGTTGAAATTTTCCTTCTGTTGGGTTTGGTTGGTTTCTGTTAAGGGGTCATGTTATAGAAGAATTGTTCTTTAAAAATTAGATTTACCCAATGAAAAAACCTAAACCAGGAGTGCTTGAGGAAGTACTTGGTTCAAGTTCTATACTCACTCCAGGGTATATACTTATTCATGGAATGCTGATCAAAATCATTCATGCTTTGTATTTATGTTTGCTTCTGTGGATAACTAAAATTGAATAAATGAGATGTATATATGTGGATGCAACTCCACTTTATAAGATTTATTTTTGCATAGATGCTAAATCCAAAAATCCAATGAGCTTTTTCTTCCCCATAAGGGTAGATACATTCCATTAGTTTTCTGGAAAATATTAGTTATTTACTAGTTTGTTATATCAATAATATAAATTATACTTGCTTTTTTCTTAACTAATTTCACCTCATTTGTCCAACAGACATGAAAAGCTGTTGTGTTCTGGGCATTGAGTTAAACTTTGGGGTTTGCACATAAATTACATGGTTTCTATTTTCGTAGCTTACATTATAATGGGGAATATCAACACATTCACAGTTATACAATGTGTCATATGCTCCATCTCAGAAAACATTCATCATATTCCTTGAGTATCTGTCATACAGATACTGATAGTTATTCAAGTTTCTAAAAACAGTCACTTTTGAGGGTGATGATTTTTTGTTGTAGGGGCTGCCCTATGCAGTACAGGGTGATTAGGAGATGATAGTAGAACCCATCTCTCCTGATGTAACAACAAAAAATGTCCCCAGACATTGCCAACTATGCCTTGGGGGGACAAAATCACCTCTGTTTGAAAACTGTCTCCTAGAGGAAGGGGATGGCGACCTAGATGGTAGGGCCACCTAAGACTTAGAAAGGGATACCAGAGGCCATTCGCCAGCAGATCAGAAGGAGGGAGCTTAAGAATTTCTGAGGAGGGGACTGAGCAAGATGGCAGAGGACCAGAAATGACTTCCACTACCCCTGAAATTCTTTGTTGTGATTATAGCTAAGACAAGTCTGTTTATTAATGTATAAAGCGTGAATGTATGTAATAACAAAGTCATAAAATATTCTGAGATAAAATTAGGGCCTTTGCAAAAGGTATTTGGAAGTTCAGCTTTGCTGTGTTCTGTCTGCTTGTAGAATCGTATTTTTGTCTTAATCTGGTTTCATTAATGCTTTTCTCTTGTGTGTCATTTTGCCATTGTGCCGTGTTATGATCTTGTCATTTTCTTCCCTTTTCCATCAAGTCATTCTGCCAACAGGGCTCAGTCTCTGAGATCTTGCCTTCGCTGCTTCCTTCTTCTGTCAGCCTGCTGTCACATCTGTAAAATCTGGTCCTGCTTCCGCTGTCCCTGTGTGTGTGCTTGTTCATGCCCCTTGCCACAATCATTTTTTTCTTTGCCATGAAGCATGAGAGGGTGATTACAGTAGAGAAAACTGAGACTAGATTTTGATAAAGAAAGCCTAACAAACACAAGGTTTTTGCCAGCCATATTGAATGCATCTTTCTAGCATTCCGTGTCATATTATTGTATTTTACTTGGTTGTTATATCCTATCTGGTTAGCTATTTGTGTCTTAATTTATATGTAGCAAACCATCTACTGAGCATGTAGTGACAAGTTAAATTGATTTTTTATCATTTTGTTAAATGTGTGCATTTAAGTTTTAATAACTTTTGAGATTGATCGTTTTTGCACAGAACGTTATCTATGCTCATTGTAGCTTTATGGTTAATTAAATGTCTTTTGAATGACAAAAGGTACTTAAGAGGGCCAAGAATTTGTAGAATAGTTTAAATTTTTATCATTTCTTTTTGAGTACACTAACAAAAATTCTATATAATATCCTAAATTTTTGTTGTAACAAGCACTTATTTAAGTCACATTGCTAGCCACAAAGATGAAGTAAAAGGAAAAAGATGAAGTTGAACCATTTATTAAATGTGAAGCTATTGAGGAGACTGACATTATGAGCAGTGACTAAGTTCTCACAAGGTTCATAAGATCCATTTCCAATGACAAACCTAATTTGACTTGAAAATATTTTAGGAAATGAAATTTCCTCTAACAAATCATTAGGACTTTAAGATTATAGTTCATCAGCCCTTAAAGATTTTAAAACCACCAAATCTTTTAATAACATAGGAATGCTGTTTTCTATTCTTAGTTAACAGACTAAACAAAAATTTAAGTTAATGATAGCAAGTACAGTGTGGGGCTACATTTAACATGGATTTTCTACTGTTTGCTAGCTCTTACCTGATTTACCAAACAGCTGGTTAAGTGCTTCTTCTTCTTCAGCCACCCGTATCAACTATCTTCCTATTCTTTTCACAGTTCCCCATTAAATTGCTAAGGCTTTATAGCATCTGCTCTAGTTACAATTTCTAACAAAGGCTGCATAAAAGAACATGGGACTTAGAGTTTTCTTGTTTCATAAATTATTGGTAATTGTTGACAACATAAATAGTTGATAAGGAAATAACTCTTGAAGTCACAAAATCATAGAATATTTATTACATTGAATGTCTGCCAGATATTATTTATACATATATTGCCTTGCCTTTTTTAACCCATTATTTTACATAATCATGTTAAGTCTAGGATAAATGCCAAGAAATGGAATTGTTAAGGTAAAGAATACATGTGTTTGTAAATAGAATGACCAATTTTCCCTCTGTAGGAGTTGTTCCAATTTATACCCATTTTATTCTCCACTTACATAAGAGGGTCTCACCAACCTAGTTTTTCATCAAATGTTTGGACTGACTTCCTTCTTTCCTCCCGTCTCCCCTTCCTCCCTCCATCCCACCCATACTGTTAGGTGAAAAGATGTTAATATGGCTTTATTTTGTATTTTTCTTATGACAGAAGTTGTGACAATTCATTTCCTTTTCCATGAGTGTATGTTCATGTCTTGCAGATATTTTTCAGTTTTAAAGTGGGAATTGTTATTTTATAATAGGAAGGAGAAGTTTTTGAGATAATCACCTGTTTGATTTATCATTCATAATATATAATTGGTCTTAAGTCTTTTTCAATGCACACATATCCATGAATATTACATAAAGGTTTTTCCTTCCTTCTAAAATGAAGTTTGGAAGTAATCAGTCCAAACCAGAGTTCACAGTGGACCTTAAGGGGGCGACGATTGAGATGGCTTCAAAGGATAAATCCAGCAAAAAGAATGTATTGGAGGTAATACAGTTTGTTCTAAGATTAATTCACTTTCTTAACTGTCATGGGATCTTTTTTGAGTTATTTTAGGAAATGATCTTTTAATGTGACAAGTTTTGGTAAGTTTGGTCTTTAAGTCAGCTTGTGTTATAATTTAAGGGGAAAAAAAGCTGATGTAACTATCTGGGCTTTATTTGCATAAATTATTAAATCTCAGACTATATATTACAAGCTTTTGTTCAAATCTTGCTTTTCCCCAGCAACAATAAAAAGGGTATGGTTTCCTTTGCCTACTAAATCTAATATAAAAATAAACAGTAACTTTACATTTTGTCATTAAAAATCCTCCACAGTAATGTATGATTCTGCATCAGTTATTTATTGCTGCATATCAGACTATTACACAATTTAGCAGCTTCACAGTCATTTTGTTTGCTCAATTTGGCCTGTAATGAGCTGAGTTATTCTTCTGATCTCACCTGGAACCTTTCATGAGGCTTTAGTCATCTAGTGGCTTGAGTGGGGCTGGATGGTCTAGTTCACGTCTGGTATTGGTGCCAGCTGTTTGCTAGGCCTCTTTCTACACAAGGTCTCTCATTCTTAAGGAGTCTACCCCAGGCTTCTTTACATGACGACATCAGGGTTCCAGGAGTCGGGAGAGAAGCTGCAAGATTTCTTGAGACCTAAATTTAGAAGTCTCATGTCAGTGTGTTCCATTGGTGAAAACAAGTCAGAGGCCAGCCAGGTATTCAGGGTTGTGGGGAACTAGAGTATATCTGCTGATGGAGCAGCAGCAAAGTCACATTCCAGGGGAGTGTGGATACAGAGATGGGATGAATTTTTGAGGCTGTCTTTGCAAATGATCTTCCAGAGATCCCAAACTTTCTTACAGCCTGTTTTAGTCTTTTCGTAGCTTGTTGTCTAGGCAGGTTGGATTAGTTGCTCTTTTCCTGCCATTATGATTTTCACTCTATTATTTTGCCTTGGCTGCTGATCCATGCCAGTCTTCGCTTGCCAAAGGTTACGTCTTTGAAGCCCATAGGAAACGTCACCATAACAGTGATGCTTCTTTTTTCGTTTATGTCTTTAAAGTAGCATTTATTTTAGAGTACCCTGAGTTATCATCATCTGTAAGGGTTTTTTCGGGAGTTTTTTTTTTTGTTTGTTTTAAGCGGAGACACTATATTTTTCCTTATCTTTAAGAACCTGTAACAGGGTTATCTTATGTACACTGAATATTCAGTGTTGGTTGACTGACTTGACCCACTCTCTAGAAAGAAATCAGAAAGTCTCTGTTTTCTCAGTTAGCCTTGTAGTGTCAGTACTGATTCCAGAATGTAAAGGATCCCATGGTCAAATACCTTTTTTAAATATTGCTTCAGGAGCTGTGCTTGAGGCATATATCTCAGAATGTTGTTTGAGAAACATTGCCATATGTTCCTGTAGGAAAAAATAAAGTAAAAACAGTTATCAATCAGAAAATAGGGAGAATGCTTTCTCCAGCTACCTTGAAATTCTTCCTTAAGAATCTTTTAACCAAAGAAATTATACATAAATTGGTTATTGTTTTCAAATAGCATAATACAATAGTGTCTTTACTTGAGTTAGTTTATGACTTGATACTTTATTTAGTAAATATAGTAATATGTCTGCCCCAAAGGGATGTGACATATATTGTCTGTGCTGTCTCTGTACTAAGCCATTATACTTGCTTATTAAACAGGAAATAATGAAAGTCTCTTTGTATTGAGTTGGCCAGTAAGTTCATTTAGTTTTTTCTGTACGATGACTCCAGTAGTGCTTAGTTGTCTTTAACTTTGTTTGAAACAAGTTTGTTAGATTATATTATGACAACTGTCATATCAGTGTGCAATTAAGAAAACCATACAAATTGGTGAATTTTTTGTGCAACCCTTTTAATATTGAAGATGGAAGCAAATATGCAATATTTTCGACATACTATTTTTTATTATTTCAAGAATGGTAAAAACGCAATTGAAACACACATAAAAAGATTTGAGCAGTGTGTAGAGAAGGTGCTGTGACCGGTCAAATGTTGTTGTGAAGTTTCTTGGTACTCCTGACATTTTGGCCAAATAATTCTTTGCTTGGGACTGTCTTATGCATTCGAAGATGTTTAGGAGCACTCCTGGCCCCTACCCACTAGAAGCCAATAGTGGGAGTTAGACAACATACTCAGAATATCCAAATCAATAAAGTTATAGGTGAAAATGAAAAATGTGTCTTTTATTTTATGGAAAAACACTAAATGGACTTTTTGGCCAACCCAGTACATTCTTTTCCTACATTTTTAATCAGAGGGAAAAACATTCTCAAATTTATGTAAAAATATCATATGTTTTATTTCTTTATAAATGAATTTTGTTTCAGTTAATTTAAACTGTATAGCTTTGATACTTGAACATATTTTTTTGATAAAATACATTAGATTTTAGCAAGTTTTATAGCATTTATGTGATGGAATTTGGGATCTTAAAATATTAGATTTTCACTGAGAATTTACTGTGAAAAAAACTTCATGTTTTATAAAGTAATTCAGGTGGTATTATTTTATACTAAAATGAAAGATACTCTATTGCTATGTAGTACTTAAACCTTTCATCACATAATATAATACATGGCATCTAATCTGCTGATGGTTTTGTAGAGTTTGAATATAAATGTATTCATTTATTTGGTTGAAAGCACTAACCATACTCTTTTTTTTTTTTTTCCCCCTCTAAAGCTGAAAACACGTCAAGGAACAGAATTGCTTATTCAGTCTGATAATGACACTTTTATTAATGATTGGTTTAAAGTTCTTAGTACAGCTATCAATAATCAGGTATGTGTTTGACTTAGGTAGATTTTTTTTACTTCAGAGCAGCTTTTCTTTTTGGCTTTTTAATTGGTTATTACATATCTAGATTCCAAGTTATATGTGAAAAAACATGTTTTTAATATATAGTTTGACAGTGCTGGGGAAGATGATGGTACTTTAGTAATAAGGGCTGGTAAATGACTTAAGATTCTCATTTATGTAGTGTTTAGCTGTTTAAAGTATTTGAATTATTTTAATTAATTTTCACAGGAAGAATTGGCCCCAAAAGAAAACGTTCAATAAGAAGGGACAGTCAGATTGTGCCTAGTACATAGTATTTATTCAATGGCTGATGAGGCGGAAATAGTACTGTTTGGCAGGAACAGGTCCTAGGCAAAATTGTGAAATGAATAAAGCTATGGTCACTTAATTAACACTTTTTCTTTCCTAGTGACACCTCTCTTGTACCCATCCCCCAAGGTGTTCTCAGGTGTTCCAGCTCTCCCCCCACCCCCTTCCAGTGCCTTCATGTCCCTGGTAAATTTCTTCCTGTATACATGGCAACCGAGAAGAACCTCAGATTTATGTTTGGGACTCTACCTTCTTAGACTCTATTCTTACCCGCTTACCTAATAAGGCTCCTATATAAGGATCGTATGCCAGTGACAAAAATGAAAGCAGATACTTAGGGAAGTGTGCTATGGTTTTAAACTAAATGAAGGCAGAAAAAAATTCTAAGTGACTGGTTTTAGTAGAGATTAAGATGTCTTTGAGAGAATTTATAGGTGAAACCTCATAATTAATATTTTGTGATCTTATTAAGATTTGAAAACAGGGAGTTTGAATTTGATTGTCTCTAAGTATCCTTTCAAGCTCCAAAATTCTATGATTCACTGAAGTTCAGAGCACCCAGATTTGGAATCAGAGTATACTTATTTTTCATCTAACTTTTACTTCTAGCACTTGACTTACCAATCTATCTACAGTATAAATATTCTTCCTTTGCAGTTTATAATAATGTATAATATTTCTGAATCTTGTTCCTTCTTTTCCACTTATTGCTGAAACCAGCACAGACCTTTATATGTTTATATTAGATAAGAGTAACCTCCTAAACAGTTTTCCTTATTTCATCTCATGTCCTGCCAATCCATCCTTAATGCTGTTGCTATATAAAACTTCCTAATGTCAATTCTACAGTCCTCTCCTGCTTACAAACCTTCTGTTAGACTCCCATTAAAATTCAACAACCTGAGCCCAATCTGCCTTTTCAGGTGGGCCATCCACTCTACCCAATATGGGCTTTCAACTTCAGTCACAGTCATCTGGTCACTATTTCTTGAAAGCAAGTCTGGCTGCATTCATTTGACAAATCCGAGCATGCTGTATACAACTGGGGATAGAGCACCATGCAGCCAGATGCCACACCTCTCTATATGGAGCTTCCCAGTAAAGACAGAAGATTATTCAAGACAGACAACTGAACAGTTCATAGAATGACATGTGATGAGTTTTTATGACATTATGGGATGCACAACATATGTTGATTAAGTAGGGACTAACAGTGTAGCGTTCATGGAAGACCTTGCAGAAAAAGGGTTTTGTTTTTAAAATTGAAGCCTGTAGGATCCGGGAATTAACCAAATGAAAAGAGAGGAGTATATTACTGACTATGAAATTATAAAATATGTACCGTTTACTGAGTGACAAAAGAGACTGAGTAATGAATGTAGCAAGAGCTGCAAAACTTTTGCAGGGAAAATCAAAATGTCATTGAGAAATATTAGAGAAAACATAATTACATGAGAATTATATCATGTTCATGGACTAAAAGTCTCAATAATGTAAAAATATAATATACTTCCAAATGATTTATAAATTTAGATTTGAGACTTCTGAATCTCAATTCAAAATCCCATTAGATTTTCTGGTGGAACTTGAGAAGCTTAATCTAAAATTCGTATAGAAATGCAAAGGGATAACAATATCCAAGATATTTTTGAAGGACAATGTACAAGGGCTTGATCTATCATATGTCAAGACTTCATAAAGCTATATTAATTAATACAATGTTGTGTCCATACCGGAATGGAGACACAGATCTGTGGAACAGACCTTCCTACCTTTGGACACTTTATGCCAGATAGAACATTATGCTCTAGCATAATGAGAAAGAATAAACTTTTTAGTAAATGAGGCTGGGTCAACTGGATATCCAAGAAGTTTGAACCTTTTCCTACATTATAGACAAAAATAAATTCTTGGTGGAGTAAGTATCTCAGTGTGAAAGGCAAAGCCAGGTTGGCTTTGAGAACTCAGTCTAGTTTTCTAACCTGCAAAAAGTGGTCATGGTTAGACTGATAAGGATCTCACTTAGTATATCTTGCAGTCCCTAACATTCATAAGTCTGTAATGATTAACTATTAATACAAAGTGTAATTTAAAAAGCTCCTTGGTATAAAAATTAATGCACCATTGGATGTTCAACTTTATTTTATATTCTGCTGTTTTCTCAGTATGTAGCTTCATCTTGTGTCACCACAGATTATAGTCTGACCTCTTAACTGTTATTCCTGTCACTCAATATGCAGGTGATCAAAGTGAGGCAAGATTGCTTCATGGTCAGTGTAAACCCTTTGTCCTGTGACTTATCAGTAATGTTTTATTTGGGGGATTCAGAATTAGTGCCATCTAAGGAGAAGAAAGAATATTTTAAATGGTTCATCAGATACCTAAATCATACCTGCTGTATATATGCTACTTAGTTCCCTAAAATCATTTGGGAGAGCCAGTCACTGATCTTGTGCTCTTTACTCTAAGGTAGTATCAAAAGTAATGTGTGTTTGGGAAATCTCTAACCCATAGACAGTAGAAACTGAAGAAGCAATTGAAGAGGAGGTACCGGATTCACCAGGAATAGAAAAGCATGATAAAGAAAAGGACCATAAGGATCCTAAAAAACTTCGTTGTAAGTTATTCTTTCTTTATTTGGCTGGTGGTTTGAGTGAACTTATTCTCTTTGCTTTTCAAAGATTTTAAATGAATATGTAAAAGCTGAGTGAAATCTCCAGTGTTGTAAAAAAGTTATAAGGTTAAGTGCTTGTAATCTCAATGTGTCAGTCCTCTCCTTATTAACTCATCGTTACTGTTCAGCCTCATTGTGTGCATCCCTAGAGCATTAGTTTTGAAATGTTGCCATACTTCAAAAGAAAAAAACAATATTATGATAAACTTCTTTTGAGGTCTCTAGGAAGGTGAACTCTATTGATTTAAAAATATATAGTCATTATTTATGATTCTAGATAGAATCTTACACTTTAAAAAGTCCAAGGTCATGGGATATATACAGTGGTTCCGTACTGGACACCAGGCAGCTGTCTCGGGACTAGGATATGTCTCTGCGAGTGCAGCTGCATGCATTCCTAGCTCCAGCTCATACGTATGTAAAGAACCAGAGTTAAAGCCAGCAATTTTAGGAATAGCATTGTCTCATGTGGGCCCCTTGTGAATTACATTGTTTAAATAGGCTATTAGCTATGACTCTGAACTTTATTAAATCTGTTTTAACAAATCCACATATTTCCAGTGAAGTTTAGGCCTATTACTGACATTGTCACCATATAACAGTGTAAATAGATAAAAATTTTATCATTGTAATTCTTTACTAATATATTGTTTCCTCAGATGTAGTTATTTTTCAAGAAATTTACTTTTTGAATTTTTGCTATTGTAATCAAAAAAGAAATCAGTATTAAAGGCAATATAGAACATTTTCCAGAGTATTCTTAGTTCAGAGTACAGATAATGATGATGACACTTAGCCAAAACTACAGCTAGTTATGAACTCTTCCCCGCCCCACTGCCCCCTCTCACCTTCATTCAGTAAGGCTAGGGAAGAATAGGAATTTTTTTGTTTATGTCTTATGAATTTTTTTTTTTGCTGGTCTTTTTTTACCTTCTAAAACTGATAAAGAGTCAAAGAAGATGTTACATCATTTATGAAATAGTGAATTTATACTTATAAATTAGAGTAACTTAGGAATGCCTTGATACATACACCATAGAAGGTACAATTTGTGGTCAGTGCTTAGTGATTAAAAATGAAATGTCTTGTTTGATTTATCATTTTGAAATTGAGTCTATGCTGGTTTGAGTCTTCACATGTTACTCTAAGCCATATTAAAGTTAGAATAACTGAATTTATACTGTGATTTTTTTCATATGAGATTAATATATTGAGTGTTAAGTGAAAATACTTTTTTCCAGAAGGTTTTTATTTTACGAAGTGCTTAATATCTGTTTGTTTTAAGCCATGAAAGTGTCTAGCATTGATTCTTCAGAACAAAAGAAAACCAAGAAAAACTTAAAGAAGTTTCTTACACGGCGGCCAACTTTGCAAGCTGTTCGTGAAAAAGGTTATATTAAAGGTACGTAGAAGTGATGTTTATAGTAATGAACTTGGCCATAATCAGAAATAAGACATTTAAAAACGGAAAAATTTTGAAACTGTAAAAATATTCTTATTTCTTATTCATAAAGTTTTTAAGTTCAGTGATTAAGATACATTTGAGTAATTAAAATTTAACTAAAGCATTGAGCAGACATAAATACCAAACTAAGTTTTTAGTAACCCTGTACAAGAGGAACTGACTACATTTATGTGATCAGATGGGTGGCAGATTTTTAGAAGACATGATTTTTAGTTTTGAGATGCACAGATCAGAAGAAATTTTAAATAATCATTAACACAGTAGAAAGCAGGAAAATACTGAACAAGCAGTTTTATTCTTGATTCTTTTCAGTTCTCATTTAAGGTAAGGTAATTTAAAAATTAGTTTAAGGTGTTTTTCCCTAATTTATGTATTTGTTATTTCAGTAAAAGCACCATATTTTACAGGATCTTGTCTTTGTAATAAAGCATTCTTTAGAATTACCAAATATGATTTTAAAGAATATACAATATACTTGTATACCTTTAGTTCTCAAAAGCATGTTTAATTCCAAAGGTAAAATTTTTAAATACATGACTGAAAACAGTGATAGTTATTTGTAAATAAAGATATAGGTAAAGGATATATATGTTCCTGATTATGAAGTTTCTGGCTGACCATCACTGGAGCATCTGTTTGGAAAGCGTCTAAATTAAAATACACAAGAGGGTTTTATTTAAAAGATACTTAAAACTTCTAGGAAGAGTTCGACTAAGTAAGTGTTTCAGATTGGCAACCGTAAGAGTTACAGACAAACAGGTACTTAAAGATAATGCATACAAATTTAACATTTTGAGTTTAGAACTTTAAAAAACAACTGACAAATTAAAGGGCTGCTGGTTTGTTCACCAGAGCCTTTTCATTGTGAAATATAAACAGTTGCCATTTTATGGTGTTATTCACCACATCAGATACTTTCTTTGTTTTCCTGAATGCCTAGCACAAATGTGGCATTTCAAAACTTTAGGGTAGAAAAATTAATAGAACAGCCTTTGAAATATATTTTGTGTAATCAAGTGTTGGCACTGGATGGACATGTGCATGCTTGTTTGAGTACTCGAGTATCTACTAAGTGCTAGGCATGAATATCTGTTTGTGTTCAAGAATAACAAGGTCCCTGCCCTCAAGAAACATAAAAATGAGAGATGGACAAGCTAACTTAAAAGTGTGATGTATAGTATGAAGAATCTAACATCATGATAAAATAGAAGCGACTGACTGAGTGATACGTAGGATGCTCAGAGAGTTTTCTTATGGAGGTAACATTTAGATGAGACCAGGAGTAATGAGGTTGGAAGGAGTTGAATTTAGGGGCATGTTGATCTTTACACATGGGGTAGAAAGTAGTAAGGTTATCAAGCAGATATAAGTTGGGGTGTTCATGGAATTTAGTAAAGAAGAACAGTTATTTGAAATGAAATTGGAAGGGAGGGGGTAGGCAGAGTGCAGATCATATGAAGTATAAGCCACAGTAAGCAATTCTGGATGCACTGAATGGCTTCTATTGTACTGTGAATGGTTTAGCTATTTTGTGAACTAAATTTTAGCGAAGTGGTTCATTTTTAAAAACAAATCTCTTTCAGATCAGGTATTTGGAGCTAATCTTGCTAATCTTTGTCAGAGAGAGAATGGCACAGTGCCAAAATTTGTGAAATTATGCATTGAACATGTTGAAGAATATGGTAAGAAAATGATTTTTTTTAAAATGTTAAGCATACCAACCCATTGTTTTGCCATCAAAATCCTTAGGATTTTTATGATTTTGAGTGATGCAACCCAAAGTTTTTTACAGTCAGAAGATGTTAAGAAAACTCTTGTTTGCAAAAAAAACTTACTTGTTTATACCTGTTTTAAAATAAAACCTTTGTAGGCATCTATTAAATGTCCAGCGCTTCTGATTGGTCTTCTTTGAAACCATTTGGAGTTGGCATTTATTTGCTTAAAATGAAGAAGCAATGATTATGAAACTGAGTTTATTAAACAATTTGACAATGTAGAAGATATGAGGAGATTGTGTTTACTAAGAGAAAGCTGCTTTTTATAATAAAAATGAGATATTTCAAAACTTAAATCAACTATAGTTATCCTTTTTATGTCATTTACTATAAAATAAGACAAACTAATTTGTATTTTGGTTAATTCTTAAATGTTTACAATATTTATACTAGTTTTATATAAATTAATATCTTGACTGTGTTAACTTATATATCTGTATATCATCAAAAACATCTTATTCATTTAAAATATTTGCATAATTTGTTATTTCTGCCAGTTACAGATCTCTCTGACTCTGCTTGTCAACATGACAGTACAGACACCATGCTACTTGCCTTTATTTGAAGTTAAATGAATAGCTTTGTTTAATATGTACAACATTATCATGTAATGAATATTTGAATGTTTAGGCTTAATTGCGTGAATTTGAAATGATTCTATTTCACATAAAAAAGACATTGCTAAGTATTCAAATTATCAATTGCTTTTATAGAACCATTATTTTAGTTGCTAGCTTGTATTAAATTTACTACAAGCAATATTAATATGACATTTTTAAGAGAGTGCTTTAATATGTGTATTTACATTATAAGATGGCATATAAAAAAATGGGTGGGCTTATTTTATCTACTGGCTTTCTTGTTGAACTATCCCCAGGTGTCTGTAGAACTTTATCTTCTGTTGTTGGTATTTAAAGTTTAATGAGGTGATTTCCTTGAGATGATTCACAGCCTACATGATAAAATAGAATTGTTGCTATTTATTAAACAGAATTCAGAGTGAATCTCCACCCCTTTTGTGTCAGGCAGCTGTAAAAAGCCGTTCAGAGGAAAAGAGTATTTGCCCATTTGAGTTAGGGTGAATGTTAACAAGAATTCTGAAACATTTAGGCATCTTTAGAAGAGGCAAACAAGTACTTTAAATTTAAAAGTATTATTTGTCTCTTAGGTTTGGATGTTGATGGGATTTACAGAGTAAGTGGCAACCTTGCAGTGATTCAGAAACTGAGATTTGCAGTCAATCATGGTAAGATATTCCCTGTTGTTATATCCAAAATAATCACTCATCACTGCTAGAATTAAAGTAAAATAAAATTTTTTCTATCTCTACTGTTTTTTCAGATGAGAAATTGGACTTGAATGATAGTAAATGGGAAGATATTCATGTCATCACTGGAGCACTGAAAATGTTTTTTCGAGAATTACCGGAACCTCTTTTTACGTTTATTCACTTTAATGATTTTGTGAATGCAATTAGTAAGTGTGTAATTCTACTTCTATTTTTTTTCCTAGATGCTGAAAATCCTCTCTACAGATTAAGTCACTGCATTCTGTTTTATCTTTTTAAGTTTTTTTTGGTGGATTATTTACTCCAGAAATTATAAAAGTGACCACCAGATGTCACTATATATCACCAAATAATCAGGCTCAAAACTGTCACTACTTTTAGTTTTCATGCAATATTTCTAGTTATTATCTTTTTTCAGAACAAGAACCAAGACAGCGAGTTGCTGCTGTTAAGGACCTAATCAAACAGTTGCCAAAGCCGAATCAGGATACAATGCAGATCCTTTTTAGACATCTCAAAAGGTAAAAAAGTCTCAGCACAAAAAAGAAACCGTAATTAGGAAAACAAAAAATAAGAGAACTGCACAGTTATGAGACATGGTATGGTGTGCCATTGGGGTCAAATCCAGGTTCAGGTCCCAGCTGTGCTATTACTTTCTTTGCAACTTGAAAAAAATGGCTCTTTAGAGCCTCAGTTCCTCGTAGATAAAATAGTTTGGTATAATGAACACATTCAAGGAGATATTATATATAGAGTGCTTTATATATATAAAAATATATACATAAAATATCTATAATGCCTAGAAAACATGTAGTAGGTGTTCAAAAATTGTTGCTAAAGTTAATGTGGAGGTGAGATTGGTTATTAAATGAGGATTATTAAATCACCTTAAAATAAAGCCATCATTACTCTAAGTTACCTATGTAGCTACCTTGATAATTAATTTTTTTCCTTCTGAAAGACCACTAGAATACTAAAATAAATGACTCAGTGAGAGAGAAGTAAAAAAAACAAACAAACCATAAAATGAGTAAAAATCAAAGTTTAATCTCTGTGCCCTAATGAAATTTTTTCTCCCTATCACCCTAGTGGAGTAATCATTGTTACCTGAATTGTAACTCATATTTAAGTTTGTCTTATTTTAAACACTAAGCCAAAATACCACACATATAAATTCGTTAGAGTATGTATAATTATGTCTTCCAGCTGTGTTTATCCAGAAGAGAGCTTCACATGGCATTTGGACTGAATTCTACTTGGCTAAATAGTTCATGTGTACCTTAGGAAAATGAGCATTAGTTTTCATTTCTAAATGCAAACTGTTAATAGTTGTAATACAATTTGAAGAATTTACCTCTTTTTAAAAAATTTTCTCTTTTAACAATATATTTTTCCCCCCTTAGAGTTATAGAAAATGGAGAAAAAAACCGAATGACCTGTCAAAGTATAGCAATTGTTTTTGGTCCCACTCTGTTAAAGCCAGAGAAAGAGACTGGTAATATTGCCGTTCATACTGTCTACCAAAACCAGATTGTAGAATTAATTCTCCTGGAAATTAATTCCATCTTCGGACGTTGATTTCTTTTTGAAGACAACCTGTGGAATAGGAGCCGGATTCGATCAGATTTCAAATCCTTATACATGTTGTATTTTGTTTTTGGACCAAGCAGTGACTCTTTGATTTTGCACTTTTTTGAGGGATCAGAAGGGACTGGAAGAGTCAAGATGGGTATTAGGCCCTCATATTTGCTGCTTTGTTGCAAGATGGTATAACTGTGTGTGATTTTGAATTAATTTTATCCTGAATGTTTGCATTTCGTACTCTGAATTTCAGTAAAAATCAAAACTTGCAATTCTAACCAGTCATATACACTGGATAATTTGGTAAGAAATCTACATTTTTTTTTCCTCAAACTGGATAATGTAGAACTTCTTCCCGTGATTCGTTAGGTTCATCACTTGATAGAACAATACTTTCAGTTATTTTGAAATCACTCCTGGGCATTTTAAACAAAATGAAGTATATCTGTTTTGAAAACTGTGTATTTCTTTTTCAGGGTTTTTGCATGCATTGCAGTCTAAGTGCTAAAATTTATTATAACCCAGACATAATTCCTTGACGGAGGCTTGCTGTCTTTTCCCAGGTTGCACAGCATCCTTATGGGCTATCTTAGTTGCTTGTTTGAGCAGCACACTAATATTACTTAAAACACTGTGATATACTGGAGTTGAATCTAGCATAATTCAGTTCAGGGTATTTTGGGGCTGTCTATGCTACACTGACTTAGCTAACAATCATAATTATATCTAGTGCCATACTGAATTCTTGGTATGACCCTGTGGAAACAGACATTATTTTATGTAAATATACACTGAAGACTTAATGTTCTTCAGTTTATGTATATAATTGTGTTGTATAGCCTCAGAGGACATTCTGACCCCACATTTCTAATCATGATATTGGTAATTTTTTTTCTGTGAATATTAGGTTTCCTTCCAAAATAAGTTGTTATTTGAGAAAGTTAACTGTGTGCACTTTTAGCTTTTAATTACATTTACAGGCAAATCACTGTAATGCAAATGGTACTGGAACAATTCTGAATAGACTTGCTAAATGGTAAATGCACTACAAGAGGAGCCTTTTAGGTTATTTAATATGTACAGAGTACATTAGAAAACAATTTATTACAGAATTCTAACTCTGCAGTATGAATTGTGGAAACCTATATGCAAATTAGATGGATGTCAGATAGGAAATGACATTGCTAAATTTGAGAATTTCTTTATACATTACTAATGTAGATTGGTTTGTACAATAAAAACAGGGTTTGGAAGGTTTTGTTACAGAGAGCATGGTCTGTTGAAAATTTTTTAAAATGTATTTTTCTAGATTAACTACTGTATATGAAATGTCTAATCTGAATAAAGAAAACTATAAGAGGTGTAGAGATTTTTTTCCATTGGAAATGCTTATTTTGGTTTTTAATTTTTTTTTTGCATTTACTGTCATACCTCATTTAAAAAATCAACTGAATCTGATATTTTCTATGGCAAATATATATTCCTCATTTTACATCTTTTCTACCCTCTCCATGTCAATGCCTCGTTTACCCTCCACACCCCACCCAGTTTTTTATTTCTTCATCACTATTTGAAAGTGAATGATTTATGACAATCTCTTTTTCTTAGAATTCCATTTATAATTTATAGATTGCCTGCCTTGGGAACAAATATTTTTTGTATGATCTATCTTAAAAACCTCTCACCTGAGTTTTGTGGTAAAACTATTGTTAGTTGTTGTGATCTTGTTAAATTGATGACAAACCGAGCTATGGAAAAGCAAATTGTTTTGGGCAAGGAGAATAAACCTACAAAGAGAATGTTTATATTTGCCTAAAGATATCCTTACCAATACAACATGATTTAGGACTGGCCTATGTAGTGATCGTGTGCCAGGAAACAATTAGACTCAAATCCGTGATATTCTTCCGCTCAATAGTTATAGATGTGTCAGTGATTAATACTGTCCTGTATTTCTTGTTTCAAAGTACATATGTGTGTATGTGGTCTTAAGTGTTTTATTAGTCTATATATAGCTAATCAGTTTGTTGTAATATTGTATGCACAGTAAGATCAGTGTCTTGTGTTTTCATCCTTTGTGAATTAAAATTTCTCACTTGTTTTTTGTAATAACAAAACCAGTAATACTTTCCTGTCTCAACAGCTTGAGTTTTAGTAGAAAATATATTAAAGGCTGAAATAAACTGTCAGTGGAATTTCATTTACTAAATTTACTTCAGCGTATCATAAGAAAGGTAGTTAGAAATTGAAAAAATTTATTCAAATATGTTATTACATTCTAGTTAGAAGAAAAATACTTTAAATTTTAAAGCAGTAAGAAATTTCACCTTTTACTTGAAAAAGTTAATTATGAAATATTTATGAAAAAATGTTACCTTTCAGACAGGCAAATCTATAGATATTTTTTTCTTAAGTGAAAAGCACAAATGGAATAATTAAGCCAAACTTGAGGCTTAGGCAGATGTGTTACATAAACATGCACACACACATATGTATGTAAATGTGTGTGTGTGTAAATGAGTATGTGTACCTACATGCCATGGCTTTCATACAAATGAAAATTCATTGATAATTGTAAGGGCAGAGACCTTGAGATTTTTGATTCTGTGTGTGTTTGTAAACCTGTAATATTAGCTATTAGATAGCAGCAGTGAAAGGGAAAAAATGTTATTCCATGTTTATGCCAAGAGATTTTTTTTCAGTTCATGGGAGAGGCCTCTAATTAAATATTTAAAGTAAAGAAGTAGTTTTCCATGACACTAATTTCTCCAACATTTTTATGCATTTAAAAAAAAGTACACAGTGAAGCCTACCGCATATCATTTTAGTAAAGAACAAAATAGTCAAATGGGAAAATAAAAAGTCAAATGGGCATCATGTTCTCATGGTCTGATAAAGGTCACATCCTCAAATATTGCTTCTAAATATAGAATTAAAAATGGGTAGAAAATAAGATTGTATGGAGTTTACTAGTCTCCAAACTCCAGCCATCGACTTTAATGATCCTCTTTTACAGAAAGCACTTCTCTGGTGTGAGCTAGAAAAGGTGTTAACTAGAGACTTGAGTAGCCTGCATGTTACAGTCCTGGAGGTGGGGCATAGTTGTTTATGTTTTTTAAACAATATTGCAATATAATTAATACAGTCCTATTGAATGCAGCTTTAGTTTGAAACCAGAAATAAAGCGGGGGGGTAAAAGTGCTGCCGAACAAAATCCACAATCTTACACTATAATGGTGCATTAGACTCTATGGGAAATGCATATGCTTTAAACCCAGGCAAGCAGAGTCAGACTCGTATTCTAGAGAAGGGGAGGGACAGATGCCTAATGAGACATTCTGTAACTGCTACAGACAAGGCAGTTCTCCTGGAGAATCTCAATTAGTCTTCTCAACTGAAGTTTTGTGAACCAGTGGTGGCTGTTAATATATTCAGCTGGATTGAGCTTTTACAAATTAGCTTTATGTGACTATGGCACTTAAATGAACTCTTTCATTTCCTTCATTGCTTCCCTCTCCCACAGGAAAAAAGGAAAGAAAAGAGCACTTTCATGGTACTCTCATAAACAGAGCACTTACGGACCAAGGTAACCACTGCGATATGGATTTAGAAAAGCCTGGTTCCTCAGTTTTTCTCATCAACCTTCCCTGTCACCCCACCCCCCACACCTTTAATTTACTTCTTCTCTCAGTGTTTCCAGAAAAGGAATTTTGGTTAAGATTTTTAATTATTAATTCTGGTAGCCAAATCTTTTATGTGGTTCTAACAGTTGTGGCTCACACTGCAATTGCTTTGAAACCTGTAGTGCTGTCATGAACCTTGTAACGCTGATGAAGTCCGCAGTGCTATCAGAACGAGCAGGGAGCAGTACGTAGGAGCTCTTGTCAGCAGGGCCTTTGCAGAGGGAGAAATCAAAACCACTGAGGACAGGATAGAGTACCTGGTGGAGATTCAGCATTGCATTCTAGGCCTCCTTTATTCTCCTGGGCATTTTGAGAGATTATTTATATTTAGGCAAGAGAAATGGGAATCTTAGGCACTGAAGTAAAACTGAGTCTCATCAGTTGATGAAGCAGGGCCAATAGGAACCCTCACATTAACAGTTTCGTTTTAGGGAAGTCCAGAATTATTGTGAATGCTTAAGGCCATATGGTCAGTGGCACAAAATGATAACTTAAGGCTGAATGGAAGAATTATCTTGATTAGTTTATGTTGTTTTAAGTTTGGTAAATTTAAGTAAGGCATATTCTGGCATGTTAATATCATTTGAGGAACAAGTAACTTGTCTACCTATTATGGGCATCTGTTTTCAGGTTAGTTAATTTTTATCGATGTGGCATAATGAAACTTCTGTTTTCTCTTTTATGTATATACCATGTACATCTTCAACGAAACAGGTTGGCAGAGGGTTGGTATTGCTTTCCTCTGAAGTTCTAGTTACAGAGATAATAAGCCAGCATTTTCTCCCTTCTTGGCAAATAATCAGACATCAATGGTTCTGTTTCTACCCGCTGACATTTCTGGGCACGCCACTGTGTACATTAATCTTCAGTTAATGTGGACATATGCTTTCACTTGTGCTCTGGAACTGTGCTGTCCACTGCTGTAGCCACCATTTAAATTATCTTGTAGCACTTTAAATTTTATGAAAAATAAATCTTTAAAATTCAGTTAGTCACAATAGCCACATTTCAAATGTTCAATAGTGACAGTTCATGGCTACCACATTGGGTAGTGCAGATATGGAACGTTTCCATCCTCACAGAAAGTTTTGAACAGTACTGTTTTAGAAGGTTAGTTGTCAGGAATACATGTGACCTATAAAAGGTCTCTCTCATGCTTGTCTCTTAGATATATGACACTGGAAGAATTTAAAAGCAAGGAGAGAGATACATTTCTAATAACAGGTCTGCCAAATTTTGATTATTTGTCCTGCTATATGCTCTCACATTGGGGGTTGGAAGGGTGGTAAATATGATTTGACTTTTAATCCCACTCCAATCAGGATGCCTTCAGTTTGATATAAACCAGAACTGTGGCTTAAAAAAGCCTCAGTTGACACTGTTCTCTGAGAAATTTGGGAATGCTATACTATTAGGTAACATTTCTGAGGTTTATGTCATAGTGTTCTTACATTTAGATTTCAGGAATTTTCAGTTAAGTAGGAAAGATTTTTCTAAAATACTATTTTAGAAACTGTCTAAACAATTAATGAAAGAAATGGTTCGTATTAGAACTTTCCCTTGGGATCCAAGCTACTTCACCTTGTATTGATGCCAGATTTTTAATGATGCCATGCATGAAGCAGTGAAGATCTTGAAGAACAACATACAAAATTTCCCTTTAAATGGGAGCTGAAATATAGCCACAAATACAGGGAAATTGTTGGTAGCCTCAAAGCACCTCAGTAGATCTGTCCACGATTTCTCCAGCTGCCAGCTAAGGTATAGACAAGGGACGTGATACGCAGATGCCATAGAGTACATGGTGATTTAGCAGTTTTTGATTTTATCAAAATGATTATTGTAAGGATCCCAGGCCAAATGTGTTCAGTATTTTTTCAGAGCTCTTACTATGTGCATTGTTGACACATTTGAAGAAGGTGCTACTCATGTATTTTCAACCCTGTTATAAAGGCTTTCTATTAAAATTCTAGTTCTAAAGTAATTTCTATTAAAATTCCTAGGTAGGTGGTATAGTAGTTCCCATTGACACAGTGCTTTAGTTCAGGCTTAAGCAAATCATAAAGTGAAGAAGCTTTGCAATCTAGTAAAATTAACTCACAAATTCTCCCATCTTCTTGTTGAAACCCGAAACACTTCTATGCTGTGTCTTCTTTTGCAGGCCCTTTATCTTCCCTCCCCTCCTCTGTCTCAGCAGTCGATGGTTATGTTAGCTGATCAGATGAGTGGCTACTCACAGAGACTGCACTGGGACTTGTTGAGGCCCTTGTGTCCAAAGCGTCATGTTCCCTGCACAGGGGGAATTTAAAGAGGAATCAAAGGCCTCTAGGAAGCCAACACTCCTCTGCTGAGAAGGAAACTAAGCCTTTTCTAAGAGGGAATCCAGTATTTTTGGATGACAAGTTCTGACTATGAGGTTCCCTGAATTCAACCCTTTATGTTAGGAAACCAGATCTGATGTCATGTCTCTGACAACTGGCTACGTTTTATAGCTGTCCACTCTGTGCCTCTGCCTTGATCTGTCATACAAACCAAATTAATTGCCTGAGCACTGCCAGTAACAGTGAACATTCTTACCCATCTTACCACTCTCATAAGTGCCCGTTTAGTTGGCATTAATGGTTTTACAAAACCAGCATCAGACAATATGAAATTGCTATTTTAAATGGTAGTATTGAAACATCTTCCACTGAAGAAAGGTTAGGAAGAGACTTTTATTATAAACAGTCTGCTAAGGTCCCATTTATTCAACAAATTTGGTGAATTTGTTTTAGCTGTTCAGGCATAGTGTTAACTCCCAGGAATACAATGGTAAGCAAAACAGAATCCCTGCTTTTATGTTTACAATGTTGAGATTGGTAATATGTCAAACAGTATATATTCAATTCTGACATATACCCATGTTGAGAAAGTGAACTTAAAATGGTCAATCGCAGTAGTTCCGTTAGTGTGCCTTTCAAGTCAGCCACTCACATTGTGGTCATGCCCACCTACTGAGACTGAGCTAAAATTTATTGCTACGTCATTGAGCAGCATGTGTTGAATGACATAATTCTTGAGTACTTGTTGAGTTGAAGTAAGGCAGATTTGTCAAATACAAAAAATGCTGAAGGCTTTGATGAAGGCCTGATTTTAAATAGATGGGTCATCCTAGCACGAAATAATAAAATGTAGAGCGGAACATTCTCAAAGTGTCAAGAAAAGCATGGATTTAACAATATTAGTAATGGTCACACAAGTAACCATCATACTTCCTGTATTAATATTAAATATATGGAGGATTCTGGGAAGATGGTAGTGGAAACAATAGTTTTTTAATTTACATGTTAAAACAACATGACAGCAAAACCAGGTAACGGTGTCCTCACAACATGCATAATTTGAGTAGATGGGGACAAA